GACTGATGGTCGATGAGAGGGGATTGTGACACTGCCCGTGATATATTCCTTCGTTTGCATTTTTTTAGTTAATTATTATTCCAACAATAAAAATGAATCAATTATTGTAAAGCATATATACTTTAAACTACTTTACCCTTTTTTTATCGTTTTTTTTTTTTTTTTTTTTTTTGCGCCGGCTTGTGTATAGTATTAACTAGAATAATGGGTCTGTTGACCTCTCATTGGCCAATCTGTGTGAAAGCAATTCTTGTTCTTTTTCTTTTTTCCAATGAACTGACCCTGCCACATTGCTTTGCTATTATGATTTGCACTTAATTAGTTTATGATTTGATTAAGAGGGCATAGTGCTTTACCATGTTTGACCTAGCTAGCAGATATATTTTGTATGGTAATGCTAACGTGACTAACTATTTAGATTAATGTAAATCATATGACGTAGTTATTAATGATTAAATTATTATTTAAGTATTGAATGATTGAATTATTAATGTAAATCATATAACATGATTTACAAATTTGATCTAAAAAATTTGTCTACCTAGCATTGCTCATATTTGTATTCTCCCTGTTTTATTGTGTTATGGAGATTCAAGGCATTGTGCCCATTCGGCCAATCTAGCTAGTAAATGGGGATACTGCTTATATCTGCATGTGATTTCAATGACAACAATGATTTACTAAAGATCGTAACAGCTTGATCACTTTTTCAATTTCCTCCTTCTTTTGAATATCTTATGTGTTTTCTTCTTTAATTTGAATATTTTATGCGGCACAGGTTGTATTAATTTATGCAGACCTTACATACACACTAGTGGTCGAAATTGATTCTGCTAGATTGCTAAATTATACTTGCAAGTGTTAAAATCTATTTAAAATGAATTGAGAGGTTGTAATCTTATAAATATTCTAAATGCAAGAATTTGATTTCAATATGCAACACTATCAAGACGAGAAAACAAAACATAATCATCGTTATGCAAATTAATGTCACTCATCGTTATAGATTCACCAACAATGATGGTGCAATCATGTTAGTATGATCAATGAGGTGTTTTGTTTTGACACTTGATGCATACAATCATTTAGGGATTTTTCTGGGTATAGCCTCCCCCATTTGACTCAAAATCATTTACATTTTGTGAGAATGCATGTGAATATATATAGGAACTACTCACACATACATGGACAATCATCTTTGGCACTCCTTCACAATTATAGATGGCTATGAATTACTCACTCACAAGAACAGATAAGAATAACTTGCAAATTATTGGTGCAAATCTATATTGACTCTTAAAAATTTCATATCGCACAATTAATGCAATTTCTTGTAAATAAACTCTTAAAATTTATGCATACATTTGGAGCTACGTTGGAAAAACAACATGTCCAAATTAAGTCCATACTTGGGATGGTTTCGATATTACTGTACCAAAATTTCCTTACCAATTATCATTTAAAATTTTTGGTGTGACAAAATTTAGTACCATTATCACATAAATTTTTTTGGTATATCAATTTTCGGTATGCTATCAAATTCGGTTGGCATGTAATAGTAATAGTATTGTACCAATTTAATATTTGGCTATTTTTTGGGAACCAAATCTGAATTTTAGCTTAAAATGTTTTTTGCTTCAATTTTTGTTGCTAAGCAAGTAGCCAAGGTATTAAGGTGAAACTTATTATCATCTTTAATTTTTAAATAATCTAAAATACCTATAACTTACAACCAAGGTTCATAATTCATCATTATTTCACACATATTTAGATTTAGTTAGCCAAACCATGCATAAAGTATTAAATATAAAAGTTAGGGTCCAAATCAAATACAAGTTAAAGACTTCAAGTTGCAAACTAAGTGAAATATATTAACGATAAAAGTTAGTAATTAGTATTATATAATTTAACATATATATATATATATAATTAAATTCATACTACAAATATTCGTTATGGTACAACCTATGGTCGGTATTGGTTTTGGATACCCAATACCATACTAAATACCTTCCGTTAGGATCAATTATTGTACCATTACCATTTGGCAAAAAAAAATGACCGAAAATCGGTAAAATACAGTATAGTAATGGTATAATACGATTAAACGACAAAAAATTCCAACCGTGTCCATACAATATATTATATAATAATATGGAGGACAAGCCATAGCATGAAAAGATAGGATAGGGCTCATCCTTGAAAGGAGGGTGCATTTTTGCTCACAACCTTTAAGTGGTGGTAATACTCATCACCTTATTTATTATCATTGGATAAGTTTAAATTCTAAGTTTTAATCTATCTAGTAAGTATAGCTCGAACTCATCCAAAATAAGCATCACCATCAATTGAGGATATAAGTAAAAATATTCCCTTGAAAGGAAAGGAAGGGATGATCACAGATCAAAATAAAGGAGAATAGCAAAGGATTGGAAGATTTAAAATTACAAGATGCATAGGTGATAGTAACTGAATAAATGTATGTGGGTGGGGTTTCAACATATGGGATGGGAAGAGATAAGGTTCTAGACGACCCTTTTTTTTTCCATTCTCTTCGATGTGTGATTAAGAATTACAATGGCATTAAATAATCGACGATGACCAATAGAAGATAAACCCACATTTATTCCATACGTGATGCAATCCTCTCTTCTCTCCTTTTCCTTCTATATAAAGCCCCAACAGGCCTTGCAGTTTCTCATATCAAAGAAAATCAAAGTTAAGCTATTAGGGTTCCCTCACCGGTGAGGGACCGAGCTAGGGTGAGTAGAGTGATAGATAGGTGTTCCCTTCCCGGTGAGGTCGAATAGAGCGATAGATAGGAGTAGCTAGATCTAGGGTTCGAAATCCTCCGCAAAAAGCGAATAAATGTTCCAATCTCATAAAGCATTTGGGGGTTAACAGCTAGGGTTTTGGGATGCCCCTCTCTCTCTCTCTGGTGCAATATCGATGAAGGAGTTCAAATAATTAAAGGGTAAAGGACGGTGACAGAAGAGAGTGAGCACACATGGTATTTTCTTGCATGCTGGGTTCATGCTTGAAGCTTTGTGTGCTTACTCTCTATCTGTCACCCACCTCTCTCTCTCTCTCTGAATCATGTTTGTTTTGTATATTTGCCCGTTTACAATTTTTCATGAATTTTCTGCATATAAATTTACACCCAGGAAATTACCACTGATCAGTCCTAATCGATTGGGGAATCTGGACTGGATCATTGCATGTTGTTGTCGTGGTCACAGAGATTTATTTGATTTTGACATGTCGGTCTCAAACTATGTACGGATTAGTAATTAGGGTTTCTCAGGGTTCTTATTTTTATTTTTAGTTTTTTGCTGTCGAAAATCCTTTAATTTTAGGCATTAAATTTGTCATTAATTTGCTGACTTCAAGGCCGTTTTCCAAAAAGTATTTATCTATATTTGGTAGGCAGGTGAACCTTGCTTTCTCGCCCTAATTGGTGCAATATATACCATAGGCTGAAGTTGAAAATTTCTCTCTGTGGACACAAAAGCTCCCTAGTCTGATCTGACTTCTGTTAATGACTTATGAACTGTATATGTGGCAGCAGTCTTTCTTTGGCGTAAGTTCTACCTTCGTGTTGGTAATCATGAAGAACCCTTCAGCATGTAGGGCAGATCTTGTTGCTTGAAGCAATAGCTGTTCTTGCTAACAGGCCCTGGATATTTTTAAACCTAGCAGTTTTCAAGATTTATGTTGTAATGCTACCATGTATTTGATTATAAATTTTCAGTGATATTTAACAATAATTTTTTTGGGTTGTTGGGCTTGAGTTGCAGAGATGAAAATATATAAAAAAGAAATTGATTAGCTTGGTATACCTAAATTAAACCCACAAATTATCAGAATTAAGGTGTGAAGCGGGATTTTGAGTTTTATAAAATAAAATGAAGACTTTTGAGTTACATGAGATAAAATGGAATGTGAAAATTGAGTTTCATGGTCAAGATTGAGAGAATTTTGAGTTTTAAGGAATAAGATAATGACTTTAAACACGAACAAAGTAAAATTAATTTTGAGTTACATGAGGCATAATTAAAAATAAGTCTAAACCAAAAACTCGGAAACGATCCGTCCCTTTCTAATTGATAAAATATATGGAATAGTTCCATGGACTATTTTGCAATGGACATCCATATCGACATAACTTATTATCGATATTTTATGTCATTTTGGATTTATTTTAAGGTGTGCCAATAAGCAGTTAAGTGATTTTGTTGTTAATAAGTACTAATATATGCCCAGACATGAAGTGTGTGAAATTTTTTATTTTTTATTTTTAAATTGAAGAAGTGAGGAAGAGAGTAAGAGAGAACGTGGGAGTGGGAAGAGATGGAGAGAGATCTACTTTTAATTTTTTTTTTAAATTAGAGATATTAAATCACTTGTAAAAAAAATTCATTTTGTGAAATTACATTATTGCGCTCACTTGTAAAAAAATTTCATTTTGTGAAATTACGTTACTGCTCTTAACCTTTTTATTGTGATAAAAGATTAATAGTTTTTTCATTCTGTTGTGGTTAACAAAGAGAGTTCTATTAATATGTAATTTAAATAATATTGATAATTGATTTGTAAAATCTATTTTACCGTCTAGTGATATTTGTCCTTGTTTGTTTTCAGCCACCTAAATCAAGGTTGCATGCATTCTTGTTCAAGTGAGGATCCTGCGTTTGATTCCTTGATGTTTTATGTTTACTGCAATATAAGCATAAACAAGAGACAAATTCGATACTTTTATTTAAGAGTTTTTTTATGCAACAAATGGGAAACAATGTCTTTTTCTTCATTATTTGATATCTATTATTTATGTTATATATTAGTTCAATTTCAAGTGGATTTTATTATAAAAAGTTAACCTTATTTACCTCGCTCTAATTATTTTGTTTTATTAACAAACCTTTTTTTCCGGTTGCAAAACAAAGTTTTATATGCCCAACAAAAAGAAAAAAAATACTTAATTTAAGGTGAAAGCTCCCCTTTCATCCAATGCTCTCGACGGCAACTCAAACAAATTACAAGAAAATTACAGATCTTCGTTCAAAGGATAAAGAATGCTTTACAATTACAATTGATAATGTTGCCAAATAGAATTTAAGGGGGAAAAAACATACGTGAAGGCAAATGCTGCAATGTGACAACAACAAAAAAATGTCTGGAATGTTGAACCTTGACTGTATTTCTTGATATAATTCGTCGTAACAGAAGAAAAAAAATATAACTATTGAGTCGAAAAATTCCGCTCCATGTGGAAGTACAGGATATGGTAATGCTCCCCTTTCGCCATGCTCCGAACCATGAACCAAGATTTGATGATGCTTTGTGATGAAGTAGGAATTTCTATAGGCCACTTACCGACTAGCTTAAACCCGAATTTGGATGCAGCTGAAAGTATGGAATGCTAGTCTACAGGAAGGAAAATATGACAAAGATTAGGGCCGGTTCGGAGTCCTCAGCAGTGTGTTTCTATCAGATGAAATCAACTCTTTTGCAGTTTTAAATAAGGGAAAGATAGCTTCAGCTACATAAGTGACATCTGTGCCGAGGATGATATCAAAACCTTGAGAATTAGCTTCCTTGATGGCTTCTATATGATCTCTATTCCCCACTCTAATCTTTTTGTAATCAGTTTGTCCAGAAATGTCGGTCTAAGATTTGAGTTGACATTACGCTTCAGTAGGTCAAGCGCTTTTGAGTCACCATCAGTCGCGAACACAAGGTCAGCAGATTTAGTGGCGACCATAGAGCAAATACCCCCGGAGTTGGATTTCTGGTTAAACGGAAGCCATGAACCGAGCTGATTCCCACAACATTAAAACAGTTGATTTGCAAGTGTGTTGATCCACTTTGGATAACACTTCTATCTTGAAAGTCAAATCACCTAGCTCTAGCTCAATTACCCATGTGCAAGAATGTCTTCAAAAAATGAGTTGAGTCAACCTAATAAAAGCTCTAGTTCTGCAAACAATTATAAAAATTTAAGCATATTTCTGGAAGGAAAAAAGACGAAACTTTACCTCGTTGTCATTGGAAGGTAAGACACCAGACATTTCCATCACTACACCGTCAGAAATGTCAACCTCCAAATCATTCACAGGTTTCTTCAAGATCTTCTCATTGACCTCTAGCACGATTTTCTCTTGACCAAGATGATCTACTTCGGTTGCTGCTTCTGTTTTGGTAGAGGGGTTTGTATCATCTGAAAGGCGGAATACGGCTTGAACCCAACGCCTGGAATAAAAAACAAGAATTACATTTTGATCAGGGAAGATGAATTAGAAGAAGAAAAAAAAAACCCTAAGGAAGAGCAGGATTTAATCAAAGTGACAACCCTCATCCACATACAGAACACAACCTACAACCCTAGTGAAAATAGGATCGTTTACTGATTCATTACCAACTCCGTTGACTGATTCTCAACTTGTTTGCAGCACAAGTCAAGTTCTTCAACATCGAAACCATTTTCTTCAAATAAGCTCGTCAATAAGGGATCACAACCAAGCTTGTCAACCAAGAAAAAAGTAAAAAGTAGCTCAATGTACGAGCGCGTGCTAGTAAAACTTTCAGTGCCATCACCCCTGACATAAAAGTTTTCACTTATCTTTTGGTCCTTGCAATTCAATCTTTCCTGTCAATTACCATTACATTAACTAAGAAGTAAACTTCAATATCTTGTAACCATCTTTCAAATGAGGAACAAATCAATCGATAATAAGGATGAACTTCAAAATACACACATATATATATGAACCTGAGCAAGGTCACCAGTAGCATAGTCACGAAACAGCACACAACCATTTGGCTGGGGAAGAGGAATCCACAAATTTCTTCAGATATGAAGAGGCATACACTGCTTGAAATAAAAGTTTATAAGAATTATCAGTTACCTTGAGAACGTTCCTATTATTCTTCATAACATAGACATCTTCTCTGGAGACACTGCAGATAACACAAATATCTACTTAACAAGTCAGCAACCTTACTAAGTAAAAAAGATCACTCGTCAAATTGAACCACTGGGAAAGTTGCTCAATATGTTCAATTCATATACCATGGTTATAATATCCACGGACGAAGAAGAAATCTGCTTGCTTAGGTCATCAATGGTAAGATCACAAACAAATGCAGCTAACACGGGTATCTACTAAGTCTTTACGTGTCTGCGATAACAACATAAAACTCGTCATGCATCACTTGTCACGGCTATTCAGTACCAACTACCAACCTAAATTGAACTTACTATTTTTTGTCTACTTGTATTTTATTGGTCAAACATGAGCAACGTCCCTTGAACATATTCAATCAAATATCCCTTGCCATGGAATGAGCAAGTAGATGTAGAAGAAAACCACACCTTAACCAAGTTAACAGCTGTTGTTGAAAAATCGCATGCATGGACAAAAACATCTGCATACATCGCAACCAGTGGGAAAACAGTTTCCAGCTCCACAGCCAACCTGTATAGTGAGAACAGTAATCAATAATCCAATACATAACATCCTGACAGGAAAACGGTCAGAGATCCTCTATAGAGAAACATACAATAGATCACCAACTTTAAACAAACCAAGATAAATACTTTGCCACAAGAGTGTACAAAATTTACGGGAAAAGTAAAACTGGAAACAAGATTCTGGTTCATCAAGACAAGACAGAAAAAAAAAAGACAGGCATTTTCCGTTTTGATTCGAGTAATTTAGTCAACAAAAAAGAAGTAAATTATGCTTCTTCCAAATCAATTTGCGCAGAAACGTGAATGATCTCAACTGATAGAGAGATATCTAGACAACAAAAGTAACATGGACGACTGGCACACAAATTTACCTCTAATATAACTTCCGCCCAGCGCCCTGAAGTCAAAAAGATGAAAACAAAAACAAAAGTTAACATCTTACTGAATTGTTGGATGAATATGAAACAACAAAACTAAAACCGCCATATGTATCTCCAACATAATTCTTCACTCACCAAGAAATATTTGCCCCACTCCTTGTCCAGGTAGTGCCGAGATTTAAAGAACTGATTCAAGAATTCGCAGTTAGTTTTATACAGCACCGGCCAAAATCAAAACTCGGATCCAAGCAACTGACATTAAGCATACAGAACAATGCAGCAGTGCCTAAAGTCACCATTTTTCGAGCCCGGAAGCCGCAGAAGTAAATAGCTACGCTGAAATTTACTAACCGAATAAATAAGCAACAAACATACCTTGTCTTGATGCCGCTTGTAAAACACATCCCAGTACTTCCTGGCATCTTTTTCATACTTTTCTGCAAAAAAGGGGTTAATGATCAAATGTAAGATATATATATATATATGTGTGTGTGTGTGTGTGTGTGTGTGTGTGTGTGTTGTGTGTGTGTAGCGAGAGGGAGAGAGAGTACCTCTCCAGAAAGTTGATAGAGTATCAGAGGTGGAGTAAATCTGCAATCTTGGGGCTGCTTGCTCTTGCTCTTGCTCCGAAGCTTCTTTGACAGTGGACGCCATAACCTCCAAAGCTTCTTGCCGAACAAAAGATGATACATATAAGCCGAATTCGAAAACGAAAATAGGAAAAAAACAAATTACAATCGATTTATGAAATTAAGCTCAATTTTGAAACAGAGTGATCCTGCTACTGAATTATCAGCTTCAATTAATCGATTTATGAACTATTTTGTTCAAAATTTCAGTTAACTTTGAATCGGATTTTTCGTTTGGAAACGAAGGAAATGTGCACCTGTTGAAATTGGAGGTGCAGGAGACGACTGGAAGTGAGAGAGATTTGACAGCTGCGGGAGCAGTTTAGTGCCATTTGTAACTGCAATACGCGGCAGGCCAACAATTTTGTAAATTATATAACGTGATTATTTATAATTGAATTATTATTTAAGGGTATATCAGTAAAAATAGGTGTATGAACATTATTAAAAAAAAGCGTTAATTAACACTTAAAACAGTTAAAGTAATAGTATCATTTTTATTCTAAACTATGTCCGGTCAAAAGGAGTTCGAACTTTTGAGTATAAAAGAGCAAACTCGGACTAACAATAATTTCTTTTGATCTCATAGAAAGAAAAATGTATGCAAAAATTTAGCGGTACAGAGGATGGTACAACAAATCAGTATGAAAGTGTTGTTAATTTTCTGATGTTTTTCTACAATCAAATTGTTTCTCTTCTCTATCATATAACATATGAAATTCCGATATAACATCTTTGAGCCAAATAATTACAAGCAAAATATTAGAGCCAATATTCAAAATTACAAAACATGGGAGCTACAAGGAGTGTTCTATTTGCTTCACAAGTCCGTGATCAGTGCGTCCCTTCCTCTGTTTGCAAAGTGGGGCTTTTCTGTTCCCTCTCATCAGAGTTGGTATTATCGGTTTCTTCAACAACCGGCGAGACCCTATTTTCTACCGCAGACACGTCACCGTTCTCAGTTACGTTCTTTTCATTTTCATCTCCGTCTCCATCACCAACAGGTTTCGTGAGTCCTCTTGATGGGGTGGCGACTGTCAATAGGCGGCCAATCCCGTCATACAAACTCTTTGCATCCATGATTAAAGCAGCTCCACCAGGGTAACAGCGGCCAAAGCATGTGGCACAGTGCGGGTAAGTAACCTACGAATGCATTTGTAAAGTACAGAGGATGTCAATGTAGATGAAGAAAATATCAGACAATATGTAGCCCGAGTTTGTTTATATTATACCTCAATAAATGCTCGACAAAGTGAGAGGAAAAGTCCAGACTCGTGTTCTTTCAGCATCCGATTTGTATTGTACCGCAGTAAAGAATCAGAAACAGCCTGCAATCCCTTGATCAACTCTTGAGCAAGCACGTGCTTTAAACTTATTGGGGCACAGGGGCGGAGGTCGTTCATAGCTGCAGACACGCCTAAACAAGAAAGAGATATGCATAAATGCCTGAAAAAAAGCAGAAATTGGGCCATTCCTCTGGAGTATTATGATATAGGTGGACCTACTGACACACGATTTTTAAGAGCAACCATGATATATATTTCCCACATTACAATTCAGTTTTGCAGATCATACAAGTAACCATTGGAAACCTACTTTCTTTCTTCCAAAAAGTCACATACAACAGAAAGAAACTTATCCATTATCCACATTCCACATCAATGATATTGGACCATCGATCATTATTTGGTTTACTAAAGTAGGCAACTAAAAAGGAACAATAAGCACACAAGATGAGAGTTCTGTGGGGAAAAGGGCAATTCCTCAGTAAACAACTAAGCATAGAAGATTTTAGCTGAGAAGCTTATATAACACTTACCATTAACAAAAACAGCAAGAGGTGGATGTTCCATAAGATAAGATGGCGGGGTTACATCATCCTGATTTTCATCACCATGACTGTTCGATGAAAAGCCAACTGCTGGTAGTGGGACCCAACGATGTGAATCCAAGACCACCTGAATTTAAGCACAATGTCAACTTAAATCTCTCAGTCTACAGCAATTACTTGCACTTTTAATTATAGAAACACTGAATTCAAGTCATGAATTATTCATTCACCTCAAAATTCTCAACTGCTGTGCTCATGTTTTTTGAGAACAAGTTGAGAACTGCCCTGGAAAAGTAACCAAGGTCAACATTCACAATGAGGAAAACAATTTAAGGTATATGGTAGTCAAGAAAAATGGGGGAATAAGATCTGTACTCTTCAAATAGTGATGGCAGCAAGCCCCGGAAATCTAGCCCAACCCAACCAAGTCCCATAGCACAATACTGTCAACCAAAAAAAAGGAACAAGATCAGATAAACAAACAGAGCTTCTATTACTCTTAAATTTCAATGATAATAGGACTAGCATGACCAATTTACGAGATTTTATTCCTGGGTGTAAAAAGTTAAAATCATATGGCGAATTTATATCATTTAAATTGTAGACTCCTCTGCAGCATAAACATGTTTATTTGATGCCATTACCATGTCTCATATAGTCCTGATGATACACACCCCAGCAATAATACTCTGAAGTGAAGCGTTGGTGCTTTATAATATGTTAAAAAGTGACGAGTAAATGAAAAATTCAATGAATGGTGATATATCTTGCAAATCATGGACATTAAAGAAACAACTATATTCAAGCATGTATCTCCGTTTATAGCTTGATGCGAGCATGTGCAAAATGATAATAAATATAACAGAGAACGCTCACCATGCATTGATCCAAGATATTTGATAAAGATCCGCCTTCAGTTATCTTTGGAAGCAGAATTTTGAGAGTCTTAAGGTGTGAAGTAATTATATGCATAGCCCAACTGAAAAGAAGACCACCATCATAATTTTCTTCACTGCCTGATGTATCATCAGCAAATATTGCTCTATATTGGTTAACAACATCAAAAAGATGCATTCTATGACAATTTATCATCCCCTTCAGGTACTCATAAGCATTTCTCTGGTCCAGATCCTCCAGAATTCCAGTAAGCCATGCCTCCCGACATCTCAAAAACTAAAACACAGAAAAAATAAGGTCAGATACAAGAAAGCCTGAATGTCCACACATGTCATTTGAAGCGTTCTACATTGCAAAATACATAAATGTAAAGAATGCGCAAAATACACTAATCCCTTACCTGTAAACGCATTTCGTACTCACTAAAAACTCCTATTCTACGTAAATATCCAATAATACGGAGACATTCAGGTAACTGCAATGCACAAACACACATCCAGAAAGAAAAAAAATTAAAATTTTGTAATCAATGTGAACGAAAGATCAAAAGTGCACTAGCTGATGTTCAAGGAATTACACAATACCTGAATATTTGAACGAAGTTTCTGAAGAAGTTGAGAAAGAAGAGATTGAGTGGTCTGCCTGACTTCTGCAGTCAAAGCTTGAATAACGGGCAATCTTACAGAGGCAGAAAAGGAAATAAGCAAAACAACAAAGACAGCCTACAGTACACAATCTTTCACAAAGTTGAAAATTATTATTGGTTAATGAGGGGAATAAGGGGGCAGCAACACTCACTTGGGGTGCATGGTTGAAAGCTTGCTAACAAATGCTTCTAAGTCAAGAGCTTCATCGTAATTTCCATTCCTCACACATCTGTGTAAGAACGGGAATGAATTAAGCAGACAAGAATTATCCTATGGCACAATCAGCTTCCGTAAGAAACACAACATTCCAAATAGTCATGCTCAGCTACCATCAAACAATCCCATTCAGAAAAACGGCATTTTTCTATCCATATAATGCATTGTTCGGGTTCTTGGGTAACTTAAGAATGCTGTGTTTCGGGTTTTGGGGTTCAAAAACTAAATCCAAATCGAACTTATGGGTGATGTAGCATGGATCTACACTACCTACAGTAGTGCTACAATTCAAAACAATGATTTAAAACATTTTTTCAAACACATACGTCTCCATAAGCTGAGGGATTTCAAGTAAGTCGAGCAATGTACTGTGATTGGCTAGCAACGTCTGGTTCAATTTCCTCTTTTCCAAAATCTGCTCCGCAGATTCAACAAACTCAGTGCACCCATTCATCAACTTCGGCGTCTCCTCCAGCTAACAAAACCCAAAATTTCAAGTCAGCATTACAAAAATGCATCATAGATTCAAATTAATTAATTGATTAACCATAAATTAGAGTTAATTAATTACTACCAGAGACTCGAGATGTTTGTCAATGGAAGACACTTCGTTTCGAATTGCGACCAACGCGTCGGAAGCAGCAATGAAAGCTCGGTAATTGGCCACGGCCACCTCCTGCATTTGCCGCTGTATTCGCTCCGCATCGACCCGAAGAAGCTCCGGTTCCTAAAAACCAGACCCGAGAAAAATGAATCAATTTCAAGTCCAATTAACCAAACGAACAAGGGGAGAGAGAGGGGGGAGGGGGAAGGAGGGAGGACCTTGTGGAGGCGATCGAGGGTGAAGGAGAGGAGCTCGGAGACGTAGGGTTGCTGGGAGGCGGAGGCCAACTGGAGGAGGCTGGCCACCGAGGAGGAGTCGTCGGTAGCATTTTCGGACTCCATCATCGGATGCTGGAGCTCCGAGGGAGGTTTCGGATCTCGGACCCTCCGGTTAGGGGTTTGGACGTATCGGAGGGAAATGCAGATTTTCAGATCTGCTGCTGCTGCTATGGAGTTCGTTGCTCAGTTTCGATTTGATTTGCCGCGATTGGGATCTGGATCGAACTCTTTGCTGGGCTTATTGGGCCTCTATGGGCCCACTTTAAGAGGTAATTTTTCTTTTGATTTTCCAGTTTTATTAAAAATTGAAAACAGATAAAAATAAAATAAAATGCCTTTTTTTTCATTTTCATGTTAAAGTGATACAGAGTATGACTGAGTTTCATTTTATCTTATTTCTGCTTGAGAAATTTGTAATTGTAATGGTTACACAGTTCTGAGCGTTATTAATTCACGTGTTATAACATGAGTGAATTAATAATAAAGCAACTGTATAAATCACGAGAAAACTTATATTAATTTCTAGATAGATTTTCAAATCGATTTATACATAGTTATTGTTTGTTTAGGACGACCTACACTAAGTTCGGATCCTCATTTCTGTCGCTCGAAGTGAAACTAGATCACAAATTAAATCACCTTCAAAATTTACATAAAAAAGAATAATTAACAAATAAAATTTTAAATACAAGTAGGAGTCTGTATACATCACCCAAGATTTGGTCAATGCCTCTATGGCAATACATATTCAAAAACTGAAATTTATGGCAGAGTAACAGTCTAATTCTATACTTCTCACCAAAAAGAAAACACAAGATGATGAGCTAACAAGATGAACAAAAGCATGACACGAACAGAAGAAGGAGAAGAAGCCATGGAGGTGTAAAAGTAGTTAGGAAGTGGATTGTTGTTCACCACTCCAGTTCCTGTTGCTGCTGTTGGCACTGGACCGGCAGGAGGCATGTCGTAGAAGTAGACAAACCGAGGAGGAGGAGGAGGAGGAGGTGCGCCTTTCGAAGAATATGATGGGGGTGACGGGGATTGTTTTGGCGGTGAGGAAGGTGGTGATGGTGATTGTTTCGGTGGTGAGGGCGGCGGAGAAATGTAGTAATATTGAGGTGGAGAGTGGTGCACTGGTGGCGGTGATTGTGGTGGTGATGGCAGCGGACCTGAAGGCTCCAGTTCAGGAGAAGGAGGTGGTGAACATAGGACTGGACATGTACCGCATTCACTGATGCATAGTAAACCAGTCTCAGGATCCACCGTTTGATCTTCATATGTCAACCCGGCAAACATGATCAGCCCGAAAACCGCCGCCTTGAAGGACCGGGGAATCCATTTCCTTGTCATGGATAGTAGATCTTTGGAGTTACTCATCTGACAAAGGCATAACCTTTGACAACTGACCAAGTTATGGTGTGGCCTTGAGAAAACTTTGTTCTACTTATCCGCCCTTTATACAAGCGTGTGTATGGCACCTCAAAAGGTTTGATTTACATACTTCTCTTATTAAATATGTAGAACGAGGATTAATTACTCAAGGAAAATACGCACCAATAAAATCGGTTACAAATTTTTAATTAAGAAAAACTAAAGTGACACTAAACATACGGTAAAATGACACTAAATTGTGACTTACATACGGTTCACTTTTTTTTTTTTTTTTTCATGCACACCCATATTGCATTGGTATTATCTGTTTAGTGTACCCAGTTATATTTCAATTAGGAGTTTGTACCAATTTTATTTGCGCTAATTTTGCTAGCTACTTTCATGTCATTTGGAGCCTGTATTTTTGCATTCTTTCAATTTCATGGGAAAAGGAATCCTAAGAAAGGCTTCAATGACAATCTAATCCTCTACCTCTAGTTTCTACTGTTTTTCTGATGCCTTTCTGCAAACATAATCCACCTTTGGAATCACTTTGTGCTCCTTCTTCTTTAGACTTTAGTTATACCTTTCTTTGTAAGATGGACTTCTCTTATTTGGAATAAGGATATCTCACAACTATTTCACTAACTTTTTGCTCTTCTAATCCACCTATCTCAACTCGTAGACTCAGTGGTAAAGCCAAAATTTTAGTTTAGGAGGGACCCAAATGTTTCAATCTAAAACGCTCTCCTGATCTTCCATAAATTACTATGTCGTGTGGTGAATAACAGACCAACGTCTTTTAGGTCTAGTATGGTGTCGTCCTCATCATTCTCTTCATTAAATCTAAACCCCAAACCTATATGACTTTCTCCCTCTCTCTCCCTCCACTGATCCCAAAACCAAGTCCTCCTCAAAGTACAAGCAACGAATTGCCCAAACTCCATAGGAGCCACCAACCTCAAATCAAACCCAATTAAATAAACTAAAGTAAAAACGTCGGATTGGAGCCCTAAGCCTATGAAAAACCTTGAAAATTATAAATACGAAATCTTTTTGCGTGAAAAAAAAAATGTTAGGATGGGTCCGGGACCATTCTGGTCTTTTCATGGCTCCGCCTTTGCGCAGACTTATGCATAGCCAAGTTGATTAAAGTAGTATGTTTCTCGGTCCATTTGCACCCAAGTTCAAATTCCACTCCCATTTAGATTAGATTTGATTAGATTATTGCTCAAATAAATAAAATTTACCGACTTCTTTTAGGCTTCCAGTTTTCAGCTAAGTACATATATTCTTCCAGGTTTCCTTTTGAGTCACCACGCTTTAATCTTCTCAAACTTCAACTGCAGAGGGCAGTGATCGTCTTATAATCCAAAAGGAAAAGATTATGGACAGGCACAGCATGAACACAAAGTACAAAGAAGTTAAAGAACAATGATTACTAATCACAAACCCACCAAAGATTAGCTTAAACCAATCAGTGAAAGAAGCCTAAGAATATCAACTTTTTCTTTTTTTCTGGTATCAGTTTCCTATTATCTACAAACACTCCTTCAGCTTCTTCAATTGTAACTAGCTTTCCGGCCTTTCGTTCCTCGCGTCATCGGGTGCTTTTGAATTGTCTTCGTCTTCTTTGTACTTCGGCACTATATGTCAACTCCGCCCCCGGAGCTACTCTTATTCAGTGGCTCCTGGTTTTCAACAATGTAGCATAATTAAGACGGTAGCAGATAAAAACTATAATAGAAAATACGAATGAGAATTGTTATTAGCACTCTAAAATAGTTATTATGCACCCATGTTTCCCTCTCTTATTTTCTTCAATAGCAGCGTCCAAACGAGTCTACCAGTTAATGTTACAAACCTGACTATTTGTAGTTGATGTTCTTGATGTGGAAGGACGCGACGTGGAGCTTGGACTATAACTGAACCCAGGAGGAGTAGTGTCACTAGTCCTTCCAAAGTCTCTTAACCGTATAAGTTCTGGCACTACAACTGTGCCAAGGTCGGGCCTGTCCTTCTTCCTTAGCTCTGTGCATTGTAATGCCAAGTTAGCGAACGCTAGAGCCTCTTCAATTGGCCAGTCGGTCACTGCTGGATCAAGCATCTCTGAAAATATTCCCTTCTCGATGGACCTCCTAACATGGTGAGCAAGTCCCATGGCAGGCTTGGCTGTGATGATTTGGAGTAGTACTATCCCCAACGAGTATATATCCGATTTTGTTGTTAACATGCCAGTTTGTTGGTACTCAGGATCGATGTAACAAAATGTTCCAGCGGCTGCAGTCATGTGGTATTGGGTCACCTCGTCTGCTACAGATGCTGGAACTAAGCGTGCTAGCCCTACATCACTGATCTTGCTCACAAAGTTCCGGTCTAATAGGATGTTTGCTGGCTTTAGGTCACGGTGTACAAGGGGTTCCGGCTTTGCTTGGTGAAGGAAATGAAGTGTTGTTGAAATTTCAGCAGCTATCTTGAACCGTCTCCTCCACGAAATTGAGGGGGTGTTACCTCTTCTAAATAACCGATCTTCTAAGCTTCCGTATTCCATGTATTCGTATACTAGGCATCCGAATTCAGGGCAGGCACCAAGGAGGAGAACCATGTTAGGATATCTAATGCAGCTCAGGACCTCAACCTGCATGTCAACACAAAATATGATCCCATTTGATAACCATTTCGTTTTTTGTTTATTTTCTGATAGTACAATGTTTATGTAATGTTTCAAATCTCAAAATTTTATCAATAGCATACTTCCTGTTGGAATTGCTTCCTCCCTTGAGCAGCATCAGGTCTCAAAACTTTGATGGCAACCAGCGTGTGATCGAGTTTGCCTTTGTATACGGGTCCATATCCACCCTCACCAATTTTATTCGCTGGTTCAAAATTTTCCGTAGCTTCTTCAATTTCTTCAATGGTGTACTTCCTATACCGGAGATCATTATGTGCCAAAGCATTCAACGCCCGGTTCTTCTCTTCTGCCTCTTTCTTTGCCTTCATCTCTGCCTGTCTTCTTCTCTGAGCTTCCATCTCCGCCAACTTCTGTGACGCCTCAGCTGCTTCTATAGCTGCTTTGCACTTAGCCTTCTCCATTTCCACAATGGCAAGGGCCGTCTGTTCAGCAAGCTTCACTTCCTCGAACTTTCGCGCCTCCTGCATCCACTGACTAAGCTCGTTAGCCTTATTTTTCGCCGAGATTGCTTCTTTGCAGGCCGAGCTGTACATGTCCATTGTTTGCTTCAATTCGAGCTTTAATCTTCGCATTTCAGCCTCCATATCCCGCTGTAATCAATCAAACAGTTAACAGCCAGATTATTCTTTTATCTAGGCCTTGATTTATAAATTTTTATGCTACCAAATTAATATAAACGTACTGCAGATTGTCTGGATGAGTCCTTGGGAGAATTTAATGTACTAGAGAAATCGAAACATTGGTTTGTCATATCCACTGATCCAAATAATGGCATTGAAAAGTCACTTTCATCAGCATTCGAAGTGCGGTTGCTAAGCGAAGACCGTGCTGCAGTATGGTTAGCCATGTCAACATTAATATCCAACAAGAGATTGTTCGGAGCACTCCTTGTCCTCTCGCGCACTGCAGGCATTTTGACTGATCCTGGAACCTTCCACCCTCCCCTTGATGCAGGCTGTCCTCTGCTTCCACCAACAGCATTACAAAAACCACAACTTGTTAGCGTAAGAGAAATTCTCACTGCACGATGTTTTGTCTTACTTAAAGACATGACGCTTTGCAAAAACCTCAACCGTGCAATTAAAAGAGATCAGAGTTGAAGAAAACTGAGAAGAAGTGAGAGTTTCTTAACACGTTGCCCTGAAGAGAAGCAATTAAAATACGTACCTAACTCCGTTTTCAAATTCATTATTATCTGCTGGGATATGATATGGAAGTCCCTGGGAGGATGGCTGTTTGGGTGGAACTGCAGTATTAACCACTGGCCTCTTTGCAGTTCTTGCTGACAACTTCTTCCCTTTCTGAATTACGTATACAGAACAGAATTCCGGCGCTAATTTTACAATGCTGCTGGGCACATCATTCCCACTTTTAAACTTCCTGTGAAGAACCACAGCATCAGAACGTAGCTAGAGAGAGAGGGAGAGGGAGAGGGAGAGATCTTTAAACCTTGTAAGAGCATTCCTTGCTGATGCACCAACTACAATATTATTGAGGTAGTTGCAATTGACATACTCCAAAAGTGCTTTTGCAACATCACTGTCATCAAGGATAACCTCTTTCACTTGTGCCTAAAATTTGAAAAAGTAAAATCAAATCAAACCTTTTAGACCCTTTAAGCGATATTACGCGTAACACATCACATCTGTGATAGGAAAGATGCACGTACGTACCCCTTTACGAGCGCAATATGCACGGTAAGGAACGAAAACACCACGTCCATTATTATCACCCGAATCAGCAGCATCACTCTCTGCGTAACTCCGAAAAGAAACAAAGAAATCACGTTGACAAGGCCAAACAATGTGTTTCGAAAATGAAGCAGAGAAAATAGAGGGTACCTACGATTGTTTTTGTGCTTGACATGGATGAGGATGATGTACGGATTGGTGCTGGCGGTTACAAGATGATCAATAGCCCACCGGACAGCGTAGTTGCTGTTCTTATTGTCCTTGTCGACAGCCACGGCAGTTGCATTGATGGGTGGAACGGCGTCGTCCGAGGAGTAATGGGAGGCCATTTTGCGTGACGCCACCAGCGCAGCACTAGCACAAACACGCACCAATGCCGCTGCCAATGGCACCACCCTCCACGTCCACCGCTCCGGGAAAGCTTGAGACGCAAGAAAAGAGGAAAGGGGAAAGAAGAAAGGAAGAAGGTTAGCTGATTAGGGCTTTCTGTTGGTGTGGTTGTGGAACTGTGGAATCACATGCTTGGCTAAACATGGAAAATGTAACGTAACTAACTTTTAACTGACTCTCGTCCGTTGGCTTGATTTAGGCAAGTTTTGACCTGGCCATGACCAAATAAAAGGACTTCTACTTAGGTTTGGATTTTTGTTGAAGCTTTAAGACAAGTCAAACAAACAAAGAGGGAAATGGGACTTTGAGAGGAACAAAAATGTCTTTGTTGAACAAAATTTGTTCAAGGATTGGTAGTTGTTTGATATCTATGTTGTAGAGAGGTTACCAATTACAAGTATTCGGCTATCAAGTTACAAACTATGTTTACAATTTTTCATAGGGAGACAAGTGGCTTAATAAAACAATGTATAGTAGGAGAAAATTTTCAGTCTGTCAGAAACACCACTAGGTACACTAAGTGTCATATTACAATTGATTGAATTAAAAAAAAAAAATCAAATAATTGTATTATTACACTGAGTGTACCGACCATGTTCCCGGCATACTGAAAAATCTTTGGTATGATAGTATTCAATTACAGTTAATAACGACTAGTTCTTAGTTTAGTTGTATTTTTTTTTTTTAAATTTTAAAAGAGATCTCTAATTCAAATTCACTGCAACTTGATTAAAGAAAAGATTACCTATTCAAAATTAGGGTGTGATATTCATCTTCATTTGTAAGGGAGAGATCTTAGGTTCGATTCTCACAAAATGCGAATTTGAACCACATTATTGATAGCTCATTGCGAGGCTAAGCTCACCTCCTCTCCTTAATGTAGATAATATCATTTGTTAAAAAAATGTAATTAGGGTGTCTTTGTTACTATGTGCACTTAAAATGTTATGACTCATCCCTACTTTGCTTACTTATATTTCTTAAAACTCTCTTGAACCGGCACACTATGAAAATAACTTACTGAATATTGTGTATGCAAAGTAATAGTACTGAAAATAGAACAATTCAATAGATGATATGTGTTATCGAGAAATAATTAGAATTTGTGAAAAACCTTGAACACGTGATATCCTTCTTTTTTTTTTATCAAACGTTTCCAATTGGACGAACGCATGATATTTTTTTCGATTTACTTTTTTTATCACATTGCCAAATGACAACCTCAGTTTCATATAAATTTTTCTTCTACACTAAAGCTTAATGACATATTAACACTTGAATGAGTAAATTAATTTTTCGAAATACCAACTTCTCCAAAGGCTACCAAGTCTCATGCCCGCGGATACGCGGAATCCAAAAGCCAAAATAGCACCAAAACGACGTCGTCACCAACCGGCGGAATCGAAAATGAAAAACCCCTCTCCCCCAATTCGCCAACCAGAAATACTCAGATAACAATCGAATTCCCAAATCCCCAGTGGACTCAAATCTCCTGCAGCGCCTTGGTCCGTGAGCAATGTCGTCGATATACGTGTTGGAGCCGCCGACGAAGGGGAAGGTGGTGCTGCAAACGACGCACGGGCCGCTGGACGTGGAGCTCTGGCCCAAAGAGGCCCCGAAGGCTGTCAGGAACTTCGTCCAGCTCTGCCTCGAAGGATACTACGACAACACCATCTTCCATCGCATCATCAAAGGCTTTCTGGTTCAGGGTGGCGACCCCACCGGCACCGGCACAGGTAATTTAAAAAAAGATTGAGAATTTCGATTCGTGGACTTGTATTGTTCTCTAGGTTACTTCAGTTTTGGATTTTGAACTTAAGTTGGGTAATTGCTAAAAAGAATGAGAATTTCGGTTCAGGAATTAGTATAGTGATCTGGGTTACTTTGGATTTAGGATTTTGAAATTTTGAACTTGAATTGTTGGGTGCATTTTTGCAGGGGGTGAGAGTATTTACGGTGGTGTGTTTCCTGATGAGTTTCATTCGCGTTTGAGATTCAAGCATAGGGGTTTAGTTGCTTGTGCAAATGCCGGTACACCCAATTCGAATGGGAGCCAGTTTTTCATGAACTTGGATCGGAGTGATTGGCTTGACAAGAAGCATACCATCTTCGGAAAGGTGATGATTAACTTCAATTCCGGCACTGGCAGTTTAGCTTTATAGAAGACCAAGGAACCGAACTCATTCTTTTGTTGTTTGTATTGTTTGTCAGGTGACTGGGGATTCAATCTATAATCTTGTGCGGTTGGGTGAACTCGAAACTGACAAGGAGGATAGGCCTTTGGATCCACCCCCAAGGATACTATCAGTAGAGGTAGCTAAACCTGGTCCTTGAGTAACCTTAAGCTTTCCTCTTTCTATATGCTTATGTGATTTTTTTTCCTGTTCTATTTTATGTTTGCTGTCAAAATCTGTGTTTTAGGTGTTATGGAATCCCTTTGATGATATTGTTCCAAGGGTACGTGCAAAGCCTTCGAAGGAATCCATAAATGATACTGACAACAAAGACACAAAGAAGAAAGCTGTAAAGTAAGCTTCTTCCTTGCCTGAAGGAATGTGTACGTGTGCGTTTGTGTGAATGTTAATTTGTTTTTGTACACCTGTGTCTGAAAAGAAAATGTATTTGCCATGATATATATTATCTAAACTGTCACTACGCTTCTTCGGTATCTTATGCGCATGGTTTGTTTAAAAAATGCAGAAAGCTGAACTTGCTTTCATTTGGAGAAGAAGCTGAAGAAGAGGAGAGAGAGTTGGCAGCTGTAAAGACCAAAATCAAGAGCAGCCACGATGTATTGGATGATCCTCGTCTTCTGAAGGACGAAGTTCCATTTAATGAATCGGTAATTATCAGGCGTCCTTTTTGTGATGCCTTGTTTATATAAAACTGTTGTAATTTTGCTAATTTAGGTCCATTTGTTTTCATTTTGAATGTGATTGGTAATCTACATATGCATGGTCCGGTCTTTCTCACTTAGAAATTGATAATCCAAAGGACTTATCTTTGACAAATGTTTTTGTACGCAGAACATTGATACCAAAACAAGGCATGTACAGTTATCTGTCAGAGAAGCTCTAAGCTCCAAGAAAGAAGAGCCCAAGAAAGACTCAGAGTCCAAATTTTATAATACCCTTGATCATAGCGATGATGATGATGATGATGATGAGGCCAACTTTGATGCAAGAATGCGCCAGCAAATACTCAAGAAACGAACGGATTTGGGAGATCTCCCACCAAAGCCAAAGCTGAAAAATGGTATCTAATTCTCCTTGGTATATTATATTTTCTCCTGATTGGATAATTAATGCATGATTGGTTGCCGTATAATTTGACAATGCTTTGTACTGCCTTAATAAAATTATGTCCATTTTCTTAACTTGTCACATCCATATGCAGGGAGATCTAGCCCAAAGCGGCATGAAATACCTACATCAAGGTAAACATTTTGAATTCAGACACTGTCACAGAGACAAAACATCTGAAATATCTTCACAATAATCTCTTCATCTCCTTTTTGCCAGGTCCAATGTGGAAAGCATTGATGATGATCAACAAAAGCTGGATAAGCTGTCCTTGAAGAAAAAAGGGATAGGATCCGAGGCAAGAGCTGAGCGCATGGCAAATGCTGATGCAGACTTACAGTTGCTGGGTGAAGCTGAAAGAGGAAGACAATTGCAGAAACAGAGGAAGCGTAGAAATCAAGGACGAGAAGATGAAGTATGTGTTATTGGGCCTTTTTATGTATTGTTTTCTCGATTTACCTCTTTACTCTCCTGCCTTCCCTTCAGCCCTGGGAGTAGGCCAAGTGATTCACTTTTTTATTCTATTTAGACATGGTAAAGTAGTTAGTAAAAAAAGTCGAAACCCCGTTTATTTTGTGGTTTTTTTTTAGAAGATACTTTGTGTGAATTTATAACCATGTTTTTATGAATTGGATACTTTCAGGTTCTCGCAAAACTTGAGAAGTTTAAGAAGGGAATATTTGAAAAGGGCACAGCCCCAGGTATTGAATCTGGAGGTGGCAAAGATGAAGACTTATCCAATTGGAAATCAGTTCCATTAAAATTTGCTCCTGAGAAAGGAAGGTAAGATTCATAGGTTCATATGTATTTATGCCATTTCATTGGAGTAATATAACAGTAACTAGCTACTATTGCCCCTTCTCATGTAAATATTCTTCGAACAACTATCAGTTTGCTATTTATCTAATTTGTGCTTCTCCATGGCTTAAATTTTCCCGTAAATCATTGCAGGATCACATGTCTCGCAGTGAGGACCTAAATGACTACGTCGTGCATGACCCTCTTTTGGAGAAGGGAAAAGAGAAGTTTAACCGATTGCAAGCCAAGCAAAAGCGACGAGAGCTAGAATGGGCTGGCAAATCCCTTACTTGATCTCATCTATGCCATGCCCTAATATTTGAGACCAAATCGAAGCTATGAGAATTCATCCCGTTGTCTTTGCTACGCTGCATGCCAGCTTAAATCTTGAGCTACATTGTTCGACAGCAGTTCATCTCACACCTGTATGGGTCATCTGACCTACCAGGGCAGCCGAAGGCATGATTCTGCATATGTATTCCTCTGTATCGTAGCTGGTGCTTTCGCTGCCGTCACCTACTGTAATCTTTTCTGCTCAACATTAGGTTAGGCGGTTTTGATGTATTTCTGTTTGTATATACCTCAAACAAGTCTTAAATTCTTAACGAGGCAGTTCTATGAAAATCAAATGCACAAGTTTCTTGTTAAGCTGGGTCAAATTTGTTTCTCTCATCTATTTGCCTGCATTCGGAATGCCATTGTGGTGGTTTTTCAAATCAATTAACGCATTGTCACGTGGCTGCTATTGTGGTGGGTTTTTAAATCAAATAACGCATTGTCACGTGGCAGTTGGTTATTGGCTTAAAAACCGACACGGTGGTGTCCTAGTAAGTCATTTCCAATTTTGCAGGCTTAACATTTTCAAAGGTTCTAGACGCAGACGTAAATGCATGTATGATATATCAAACATCTGACACTTGCTTTGGCAACAAGACTCCAAGAAATATCAGCGATGTTTGACCAGGTAAACATTGTTAGACCTACCGACTTGCAAAAGCCATGTCTTGTTTCTTTGCATATGCAACAATGCACCAACTGTAATGTCATATAATTGATTGGAAACTTAAAATAATATATTCTAACTGGATTATGACTACTTGGTTTACTGGATTAGTGTTTTTAGCACACTAAAAAATTCTCGTAATTTGGATAAAGTTTCATTTCGATGCTTGGGAGTTTGATTATTGTGATTTGAACCTTTGTAATTTACTAATTGTTGTAATTGAAGGACAACAATTTAGATTGGTTGATTTATAGGTATAAGAATGTCACGCACGTCTTTCAATTTCTATTTTGTATATAAGTTGTCACACCATTATTCTTAAGCCGAGGCAATTATTAAACCACATAAACTAGTTGCGACAATTAAAACTAAAAAATTAAAGTGAAATTTCGCTTAAACTTCAAAGACAAGGTCGTTACTTTGAACAAGAAAAGAAAATTGGTTAAGGCAATGGTCGCCAACGCAATTACCGATCCATTGTTGGACGTTGAATGTGAACAAGAATCTTAGAAGAGTACAATGTTGGAACATGTCCTCCCTCAATGTCCCTCAGTTGGACCGCCTTTTTCTTACAACTTACAATCTTTTTCATTTTTTTCTTTTTGGGTCAAATACAACTTGCAATCTGTTGTTTATAATTTTTGTGTCAAATTTTGTTTCCTCGGGAAATTTAGCAATTTCATGCTACCTTACTATCCATGAAAAAAGATTTAAATTGTAACCAAATTTAATTTAATTTATTTATTTATTATTATTATTATTTTTTTATTTTTATTTTTTTTGTTTTTGTAATGTTAGATGCTTTGGTCGTTGCTAGTCTACCACGCATATGGTCAAAAGTTAGTGTATATTGAATTTAGATCCTCTTTGAATCTTTGTGTTTAGGAGTTTATGGACCAAGATATGCAGACCATTCACTTCAAATCTTACGACTTCCATTAGCTTATCTCATTAGTACACTTAACATAAACTAAAGGTTTGAATCTCTCTCCCTCTTTTGAACAGTTTAAATTTCTAAACTGCGAGATTTAGAAAAGATCTAAATTTCGTGTATATTGTTGAATTTGCTAGCTTTTGGGGCCCTAGCCAACTGTATATATCTGTACTATGCGTACAATGTTCCAAAAATTAAAATTATTAAATACAAGAGAAAAAAATATACGTAAAGAACTTGGTAGCTAATCCAAAAGAGTAAAGAAGAGTTTGTAAAACTTACACCGTTTTTTCTAATCTTGCAGGACAAGCCATAACTCTAAAGGAAAACTAATGAAAATAGCTGGAAAACTTTGAGTTTTAACGAAAATGATAAAAAGATGTTGTAAGTAAATAGTATCAGAATTAATTTTTTAGAAGCAAAATATGATTTTTGGTTAAAGTGAATAATGCATGAGTTTTTCGTTAAAGTTCTCTAACTCTAGTCCAAACCAATCATTGTATTATATGATGTATAACTTTGCTTTTCTTGGAAATTCATATTCGTGGAAAATGTAACTAATAACTAAACGATAGGATATTAGGATATGACATAAACACTGTTTTACTTATTTATTAAATGTAACGCTTCAGTTTGATTATCTGACAACTCCCAATCATTCATGCAACTGAATTCCCCAATTAACCATGCACATCTAATTAGCACGACATGACTCTTATAGAAGCCTGACCACATAACGAATAAGATCAACCTCACAAAAGCACGAGACATATTTTGTAGTTTAGTCGCATTCAAATTACGTATGTCATGACTTAATGTGAAAACTGTTTTAATCAATCAGCTGTACATTTTGTGTACACCTTAAGAGTAATATCAGGAAAACTATATATTTAAATTATATTTTGTAAATCAAAAAATGCTAAGGATATTCTCAAAATATGACTCTTCATAAACTCTCTTCCCATCATATTTTTGACACAATATTTTTTAATGTTAGCACAAAATATCACGTTAAAAAATAAGATGACAGAGAGCCCCACTTTAGGAAAATCTTCTTAACATTTCTCAATAAGACTCCATGAAATTTCTTGCACCTCATTTTTTTTGCACAATATTTTATAATGTTGACAAGAGAATTAACTTGAAACAATAAGGTGACAGATAGTTCATCAAAAGTCTCATTTAAGAGGGTCTCCTTACATTTCTCTTCTCTTGCAAACCGCATGACGTGACTGTTGATGATTAAATTATTACTTAAATATCGATTAACGTATTTATTTTTTATTAGTATACAAAACATAATTTCTAAATTATATTTAAAAAATTAATTTACCTAACATTACTCCGTAATATCAGGTTGGCCCACGAAATTTATGATCCCATTTATCATGCCCAACACACGCATTTTCCAAAAGATTGTTGAAAATTGTGAAAAAGGCACGAGTTTGGTGTTCTTTTAGTCCAACAAAGTAACATTCCAATCACACCCCTTTAAACCCAAAACTGAAAGAGAAAATAAATAATATAAAAAAAAGGTCGGCAGGTAATCCCAATGTCACCGTCATAGACCTACCGACCACCGCCACAATCCTTAAGCCCGCGTTCACACCTGCGACCTTTATGCCCCCTCGCATTTTCTTGTACACGTTTCACACACAACTTCCCCCCAAGTCAACGTTTTTCGTACACGCCGTGTAACCATGTTATTTCGAGCAATATTATTCAAATCAAGTTTTTGTATCATATTTTTATATCATTTTAGGTGATATTTAATGTGAATAACCATATCATTTGAATTAATTAGATTTTTAAATTTAATTCATTATTTAATAAACTAAAAATTAAGAAAAACTTGTTAATTAAATGATTATTGTAGTATATGAAAAGTTTTTCTTCTTCATTTCCTTAGGTTTTGCAAATTTTTCAAAGTAATGTGGTCTACATCATATGCCACCTAAGGTGGTATAGAAATGTAGTATAAAAACATTGTATGAATATCATTACTTTGTTCTTTCAGTCCTTCCCCATTAATTAATTATTTTGTAATCCACTTTCTAGGCATTTTACAAGTCTTTCTACTCATCTTTAATTAACATTTAATTAAAAGATTACTCCTTGGTTTTTGTTTTTTTTTTGTCAAACAATAAATTTATTATATTAGATTTTACATTAGAAAGCTAATGAAATTCGAACTCATGTTATAATAAAAAAACAACTCTCATCAGGGCCACTTAGAAAATATGATTCAATAATATATTGATACGTTAAAATACACAACAGATGTCTTATTTCAACGAAACTCTTGAATATATAGAATTTATTTTTTTAAATCCTAATTGTTCATTTATATTACACTGAATACAACCTGATCTTGTAAATTTTCTACATGTAAAGATCAAAGTATTACTCATAGTTAACGAGAAAGAAATACCATTTAGGTAGTATTTCCAAAAAAGTTACAAAAGGATCCATGGGTTCATCCATCACTGATGGTTCTAGAACTGCTAAACCCACCACGAAGTAGTCTAGTAGTTGGTTAAGATGAATTTTAAACCTATAGTACACACGGTATGTCATGAATTCGATCTTTGGCACTGTAGAACACATAACATTAGTTAAGGTGAAACTAAGATGTATTTGTAAGTCTTTCTAACTTTAAAAAATATAAATTATTGTGACGAAACTACTGTTTAATCCCCTTTTGAAAAAACGTATTCCTCGTAATTAAATATTACTTAACTTCTTAATCATTACAATGACAGATGATCCATCCCTCCGTCTCTCTCATCTGTATGTATCAGCGTTGGACTTATATTCTTATGGTAATGGGAACAGGTAGTGACGTGTAAGTCGTAATTATACAAATAATAGAGATCCTCTTCCTTCCTCCCCACATTTTCTCAACTTGTCAATCTACGCGTTCACACTTGCATATTTCATAATTTCAAAAAAGCCAAACACATTTTCTCCTTTTTTAACTATTTTGCTGCTGCTTCTTCCTTAATTTCCTTGTGATGGTTGTTGTCTGCAAATCTCACCTTATATGAAACTCGACCTCCAAACAGACCCAGCAGCTGAAGACCTCGCCACCGTCTACACCTTCCTCCAGAACTCTCTACACACGCAAATGAACGAGAACGGAAGCGCCAAGAAGCGGCGTCGTAGAGACTCCGGCGGCAGCGAGAAGAAGAAGAAGGACCTCAAGGGAATAATCGCCTCCTTGTCGTTGCTCCAAGAGCAGGAGAAGCAGGACGAGCGCGACCACGACAGGGCATCGAATGACGACGCGTCGTTAATAGAAGAGACGCACAAGGAGCGGAACAAGGCCATGCTGGAGTACTACTCCGATTTGCAGGAGTGCTACTCGGAGGTGGAAGAATCCGAAACGATGAAGCGGAGAAAATCAAGCAGCGCAGCCTGTGCGGCGGTGGTGACGGCGGCGGTGTCGGCGAAAGCTGAAGGAGTCGATCAAGTTAAGCCGGGAGTCGGGTCGGGTCACCATCGGCGGCTGTGGGTCAAGGACAGGTCGAAAGCGTGGTGGGACGAATGCAACCAACCGGATTTTCCGGAATCGGAATTCAAAAAGGCGTTTCGGATGGGGAAATCCACGTTCGATTTAATATGCGAGGAGCTCAACTCCGCCATCGCGAAGGAGGACACGACGCTGCGGAACGCGATTCCGGTGCGACAGAGAGTGGCAGTGTGCCTTTGGCGGCTGGCCACCGGCGACCCGCTCCGCCTCGTGTCGAAACGATTCGGACTCGGCATCTCGACCTGCCACAAGCTCGTCCTTGAGGTCTGCTCCGCGATCCGGACGGTGCTGATGCCCAAGTACCTGCAGTGGCCGGAGGAGAGCGCGGCGAGGAAAATTAAAGACGAGTTCGAGGGTATTTCGGGAATTCCGAACGTTGCTGGGTCCATGTACACGACGCATATACCCATCATCGCACCCAAAGTCAGCGTTGCTGCGTATTTCAATAAACGGCACACGGAGAGGAACCAGAAGACTTCGTACTCCATTACTGTGCAGGGTGTGGTGGATCCCTAGGGGCGTTTTTACCGATGTGTGCATCGGATGGCCAGGATCAATGCCGGATGATCAGGTGCTGGAGAAATCAGCGTTAAATCAGAGGGCCAATAATGGTTTGCTGAAGAACGTGTGGATTGTTGGGGGTGCTGGGTACCCTTTGATGGACTGGGTGCTGGTGCCTTACACCCAGCAGAACCTAACGTGGACCCAGCACGCTTTCAACGAGAAGATTGGGGAGATTCAGAGTGTGGCCAGAGATGCGTTTGCTAGGTTGAAAGGAAGGTGGTTTTGCTTGCAGAAGAGGACGGAGGTGAAGCTGCAGGACTTGCCGGTGGTTCTCGGGGCGTGCTGTGTTTTGCACAACATTTGTGAGTTGAGGAATGAGGAGATGGAGCCCGAGCTCCGGTTCGAGCTCATCGACGACGAAATGGTCCCGGAGGTTCCTCTTAGGTCGACGAGCTCGATGAAGGCTAGGGATGCCATTGCTCATAATCTATTGCACCATGGCCTTGCGGGCCCTAGTTTCCTTTAGGTCACACCGCTTGGCTCGTTACATTTGCAAATTACCGTCTGACACGTGCAATGCAAAAAGCCGAGCGTCTCAAAATTATTATTCTTTTGGTTATTGGTTGTAATTTGTGTGTAAGGGCTCTCTGTAAAAGGCATACTTTGCCCCTCTACACAAATGGATGAATTGTATTTTGTAGTAGTCTTTTTATAGGCTAAGTTATATACATCAAGAACACAGAATTGTAGCATGAGATTACACTCCCAAATAGGAGAACATAAATTATTTATTTTGCGTGATTTTCCATCCTTGTATCTTGCATCATGAGTTCAGTATACTCTCTTTTCGTATTTGGTGGCCGAAAACGGCCGTAATGTGAACTCTTTTCACTGGATGACCTGTCTCACAAGAAAAAACTTTAGTAAGGTTGTCTGACCACTCTATTCGTTCGAGACCTGTCACAAAAGTGTGAGAACATCTATATTTTAGTACTTTCCGACCTCACTGATTCCCAGCCTTGAGAACTGCCCTAGTTCAATAGCCCCACACCGCGGTTTATCTCATGTCTCGTTCCAGGGAGAATTCCTATAATGCATCGTCGCATCCCTGGCTGTATGCAAGATTCTCCCCCGCTTCGCACCAACTTTGTAGGTTGTTTTCTCCTAATCAATTTGTAATAGTCTATTTAGTTTAATCATCTTTAATAGTTAAATCGGGGGCAAAACGACGTTTAATTTTTTTATGATATCAAGTCATTGTCATTAAGACCAGCTATCAGTTCCCCAAAGTAGGAGGCATTTTCATGCTTAACACTTACCTTTCTAACAGTATAATAGCTCAATGACGTCACTGAAAGCATCACAATATACAAATAGTAAGTTGAGACGTACCGAAAACATCACGAAACAGGCTCCAGCAAGCCGCAGACTTCATCTCAGCCATTTTTCGTCACCTGCGGGATTCCATTTCTATGTTCATTGCCGTCACCTGGAAGACTGAATGGAAAATGTGCAAAATGGATCTTCAAGGCAGGGGACTCTGGTTTCTTGTTATCAAACTTGTAACCTGCATGCATCCACATTGCATAGGTTGATAAGTGATGAGTTTCCTTAAATTACTAGACACGATGAAGCTTTATCAATTAACTCATTACGTTAAACGGGATTATAAACCATAATAGGTTATTTACATAATCGGTTTCTGAATATAACGTACAATTTCCTTAAAAAATTTGGTTATAGAGGTTTATGGTACATTGATAACTGGAATATTGATTTCACATTTATGCCGTACATGGATAGGTCATGGTTAATTGCTCATGTAATACCTTGAAGAGCTTCCATAGCAGTCAGAGCACACTTCGCATCAGCGAACTCTACAAAGCACAGAACCATAGCCTTATCTCCACTCTGCAGCTCATGTAAAGGTCTAGCAAACACAGAGAGAAGCTCAAACAAAAGTAAAGTACGAGGACGTTGATAGAAATAACAACAAATAACTGTGTGCCCCTCAATGAAAAAAGTAGCTGCTAGATCACACATATCCTGTCAGCAATGAGGTCTATGAAGGTTACTCAACAGAAGTAGAAAGATAAGAAGGCTTACACGTCTAGGCTCCTTGTGAATGACTTTGATTTCTTTAAAGCCAATAAATGGACGGAATATATCTTCGTTGCAAGTCAAGGTTTTTAAATGACAGAACAAAGCAGTATAATAAGCATATTTCAGCGACGATCATTTCCATTTCAATAAACTCTGAATCTAGGGTTAGGAGTAAAAGGATACGGCCTACTTCTCTTCGGGTAGAGTCAGTGGGAAGTCCATCGACAAACAAAACATTTGATTCCCCTTTCACAGGAAGAACATCAGCATTTCTCGAAGAGCCAGCTGGCTTTTCTAAACTTATGTCTGCAGGAAGATTTGGACTAATGCTTACTGCAGCAACTTCCAGTCTCTTGCTTATCAAACTCAGAACTTCTAAAAGCAATGAATAACCCTTTGTGCTAGCTCTTGCTGTTGCACCAAGAACCGGTTCAGGACAAGACCGAAGACCCATAGCATCATCTACAGCATATGCTCCAGTGGTCATTGATCTTATCTGCAAGCAGATCAAGTACCACAATTCCTTCATAATAATTCATATACATTAACACATGAACATTATCATATACTTGAGGCTTGTCTGGGACTGTTTCCGGAAGGGCTAAGCTCGCTTTTTGACAACCAAAACCGCTTCTGAATGCCTTTGGCAGATTAAACTTAAAAGCATTTATGGGTCATAAAGCACTTCTACTGAAAGTTCTTTTGCCAAGAAGCACTTGGATTTTGATAAAAAATTTGACGTGTTTCTAATAAAAGCACTTCTAGCAAAAGCGCTTACAAGCGCATGTGATTCCTACCGAAGCAGTCACAAACAAGTCCCTATAGCAACTCATAAAAGTTAGTGTCGAACAAATTCTTAGTGTCTTACATCTCTGTGCAGAAAATCGGAAGCATAACTCCGCTGCGTATCGGTAGAAGGAATCGTTGGGTTGAATAGCAATGAGGGTGTTTCCGACGACAAGTAGCCAGGAAAGCTTGGCCTTGCAACACTGTCTGTCACAATACAATACAATCCACCCATCAATCATTCACCAATTTCCTTAATCTTGTATTTAACAGTTAAACCGTATAATTAAGAAACACACAAACTTTCCAATCAACCATAAATTACAAACCACTGAAGTGATGAAAAAGTAATAAAATTTCTGTTTGGATGCTGAGAAAATGCGGGAAAGTGAGTGAAAATTGAATGCAAATGTTCAGGAAAATTGAAAATTTCGGGATTGTTGAATTAGGGTTAGGGAAAAAGAGAGAACCTAATTGGGGCGGGGTGAAGTATATACGGTACGGATCGCGCATGTCTTCTTCTTCTACCACCTGGTACCCCCCTTTGCGTTTGGTTTGGTTTGGTTTGTACTTCGCAAGTTTGCAGTACCGAATTGGAGCATTCCAGGTCGAAACGCCGTAGTTTTGGCTTGTAATGGTCGGGATGCCCGTCAGTGGGCCTCTAGACCGATCAGTTTGGACCGGATTACACTATCCCGACGGCAAGGTGGTGAGTACATTTTTATTGGATTAAATCTGATTATCAGATACAAAAAACTACCTCAACTATGGTTAGTTGAGTTAAACGACACTTTCATACCTTATTTTTAAAAATGACAATATTATACCTCATTTTACGAATTTGTGCCAATATCAAACCTCCGTTAGTTTTTCTGTTAATTTCTTTGTTAAGTACTGAAGTGGCTAGAGACGGGGTCCACTCACTAATTCAATTGGATTAAAAAATAATTAAATATTAAAAATTAAAAATTAAAATATTTTTTTATATAAAATTGTGGGACCTCTCTCTCCTCTCTCTCTCATCCCTCTCTGCACACCTACATCCCCAAAACCCAGAAACCTTCCCACCCGCCCCTCCCCCCCAACCTTCCCCACCACCCTCTCTCTCTCCTCTTCTCTTCTCAGGCGGCGAGGATGATACTGGAGCCGAAATCGGCCCTCGACTTGAGCAGAAAAGTGTAACAAAAAAAAAAAAAAAAAAAACAAGTTCGTCTTCCCCACTCAAGCCTACTCCCAAATTGGACACACCCCGTCTCCCCCACCCGTCAATCCTTCGTGCCGAGCCCCACCAAATCAAGCCCTGCATCCTCGTCGCCTCGCCGATCTTGTCTCAGACCCGACAAACCACTGCAAAAAAAAAAAAAAAAAACAAACAAAATCTGGATTTTTTTGGTCCAAATTTTTTTTAAATAAAAAGGTGAAGAATAGACGAAGGAAGAAGGTGAAGAATGGATGAAGGTGAAGGTGAGGTGAGAGAGATAAGAGAGAGATTGGATGTGAGAGATAGGAGAGAGAGATGGAACGCATGGGAGAATGGGAAGAAAGGGAGAGATGGGTACGGATCAGGAAGAAAAAGGAGAGAAAGGGAGAGAATTACGGGAGGTGGGTCCCACATGTTTTAAAATAAAAATATTAAAATAATTTATTTGATACTTAATTAAAATATTAATATTTTTATCCACTTGGCTAAGAAGTGGGTCCCGTCTCAAGTCACGTCAGCATTTAACAGAAAAATTGACGGAGGTCTGACATTGTCACAGATTCGTAAGATGAGGTATGACATTGTCACTTTTAAAAAATAAGGTATGAAAGTGTCATTAGACAAATAATTGAGGTAATTTTTTGTCATTTACCCATGATTATATTATTTCACTCTAGTATTGAATCGAAATATCATTCTTTTGCTCATGTGTGTGCCGAGACCGAGATATATGGATTTGTTACATTCTACAAGAGCTTGGGGTTCAGGTGTCATTTATTGTCTTACTTCATCGTGACAACATTACTGTTACTTATCTTTCTTCCAATCTTGTTTACCATACTCGTACTTAGTGCATATTGAACTTAATTATTATTTTGTTCGCGAAAAAGGCACTTGGCAGTCATCGTATTTATTATATTTCTTCCCTTTATCACTTGCTGACCTGCTTACCAAAGCTCTCTATCAGCCTCGTCATTGTGTTCGTTGCTCCAAACTCGTTCGATCAAGCTCGTTCAGTTTGAGAGGGAGTGTTAGATTGTATTTATTTAATTTAGAATCTTCTCCGTTATTATACGAATGCAACTTTCTATTTTATTGTTTTAGAGTATTTTAGGATTCTTCCACATACGGATATATTATAAATATTGTATCATCTTAATTTAAGAAGTCATATATCTATAATTATGTTATTAAACTAAAACATCATTCATATTTGGTTTATTACCGTTTATTCGAACCAAAATCCGATTCATTGAGATACCTATATGTACGGTTGTTACTCCTGACCCAAACTTGTCAATTTGAACCTTTCCTTTGGCCTTGGACCACTTTGTTCATCAAAAAGATGAGTTGAAAATGCTCGTAACTCACTGCAAATATATGGTCGTATACGTGTGAGTGAGTCAAACTTGAGACATTCTCCAATCATACAAAATTTATCGCTAAATTATCCTATCATGTGCAAATCACTACATTTCATTAGCGTCTGTGTTGTTTTTTTGATGTGATAATAATATGTCTATGTACATCGTAATATTTGTTTACTTTAGTTAAAAAAACTTCAAATCTCAATTTAAACATAGATTCTTATTTATGGAATTATTTACCCAGGTGTCATATGGTACAATTATTCATGCTAAATTATTACGGTCAAATGACTTGACCAAATTGCCCATAAAGACAAAAGAGTTAAAAACAGTGGTTCTCTGACTCTAGACCTGTCCGCAGGGGATTGCATCTCCCCGGTAATTACAATACGAGGTCCAGGGTGTTTAAGTAGAGCCACTACATCACTGACCTGGGCGTCCAACAAATCCACGTCCCTTTACTCGCAAGTGCACATCACACCCCAATCACAACCAAATATGTGAGCCGTCATTGTGGAGGTACAACTCCCGTACAGAGATGTTTTTGTCTAAACCGTGTATACCGATACGTGATTTTATTTATTCAAAAATTTGCATGTTTATTTAAATTTTACTAACATACTTTAAATCAAAGAAGCGAGGTGTAATGGAAAAATTAGTCATTTGTGACTAAAAATTAAACAATTTTAACGAAAAGTTCTCGGTACTTGTTAACTTTAACAAAAAACTACATTTTTTCATTAAAAAATCAATCATAGTACTATTCGCTTTACACTTTATTTTGTTCTTATCGTTAAAACTCAAAGTTATCAAGCATTTTTCATTAGTTTTTCATAAAAATGATTGGTTTTAGACTTTTAGTCTTAGAAACAGCTTCTTGCAAAATAAAAGTAAAGCTGTGTATGATAAATGTTCCTCTCCAACTCTCATAAAACAGAGAGTCTTATTAATTTAGAATCATCCTTTTATTGTAAAAGTGAAATATATAAATATTGTTGTCAACCTATATCATTACGGACTAAAATTCTCTCCCATTCTCTTTCCATCTCATTCCATCCCTTCCTTTCATATTCTCTATTTTGTTATTCTTCTTCTATAAAATATTAATATAAGATGTTGACGTGATTTAACCGTGACTATTTAAATAGAAGAAAAGGGAAGGGAAAATAACAAAAGAGAGGAAATAATCATATTCCATATCATTACACGTATAACATAAAATTTTCTCCCGTCATCCTTCTCTGATTAAATGCGTTGTAGTGTCGTTAAATATGACAACTACACTTCACCGCAAGGTGGAGTGCGTCACACTCCCACTCCCTAGCGCGTGAATGCGCCGCTCATCCTGCAGCAGCAATCTGGAAATTATTGATAAAGAAATCAAAGAGCTGCCCTCCTCTGCCTCAAAACCACGTGAGCTCGCCATCAACTTCCAATCGATCTCCGCCACGTCATCCTGAGTCATAGCCAAAAGTCGCGCCCGTACACGTGGCGTGCGATGGCCGTTGGGGTGTAAAAAGGGGAGAGGCATATTTTTTGAGGGGTTCTTTTTCGTCGTCTACTCGTCGTTGCAATAAAAACGAAGCTCTCACAGAGGAGGGAGTCTGTAGAGAGCGAGAGTACCGTTACTCTGTGTTTCTAGAGAGAGAGAGAAAGAGAGATACCGTGAGGGTGAAGAGAGAGAAAGAATGGAGGATCGGGAGGAGCAGGAGGAGGAGGAGGTGCTGGGGTCGAGCTTGACGATGGAGAAGGTGGCGGCGGCCAAGCAGTTCATAGAGAACCACTACAGAGCTCAGATGAAGAACATTCAGGAGCGGAAGGAGAGGTAATCTGCAATCTGTAGCTTTGATTGCTTCTGGATTTTCTTACTTAGGCTCTGTTTGGATTGCTGAATAATGTAGTTTGGGTAGTAATCCGAACTCTGAATCGTGAAACTATTCGGTATTTGAATTGGGTGTTGGCATTTCATGAATTGGTTTCGATTTCTGCTGTTTGGTTGCTGAGAAAATGTGGGAAGAACGAAATGTGTGGTGTTATTGTGTTTTGGTTAGTTGAAAGATATTCTGTAATGTTTTGGGTTGAGGAAATGTCGGGGTGAGTAAAGAAGTCAGATTTTGTTAAGATGGAAACAAACAATCATGGGGAAATGAGGGTCAAATAGGGTAGTGTTTCCGTTTGGAAACGAATTGAGGTTTGCGGAATCTGACCCGTGTGGGTTCGGAACTTGTTATCGTGTTTAGTTGGTAATCTAGATTGTCTTTGTTTGATTTGGGCTGTACAGCTATTAGACTACTACCCTTAGTCTGGATCAATAATAGTCATATGTTTGATACAATCCAATCTATCTAGCAAGGGCAGTTCTTCTCTCCCGAAATCTCCCAAATGAGAAGAGGCCGCGTAAAATTTGAGGTTAATGATAGGGTTATTACATTTGCTTTTGATAGAGCTTCACGCTAAAGTTCTAGAAGTTAGGTAATGGAAAGTAAGAAACTTCTCCTCCCACATACTGCAATTTTCCGCGAACATGGTATTCATTTTCTGAAATTTGCTTTTCTTTTCCATGTTTTAATTTCAAGACTCAGATATTCTAGAGAAATCTTTCAAGGCTACCGCTTTAATGTTTAAGTTCAAAGATACAATGAGCTGACGTTATATTTCTTATTGCTGCAGACGCTGGGTGTTGGAAAGGAAATTAGCTTCGTCAGATGTGCCAAAGGAGGTACAAATCAACCTGATCAAAGACTTAGAGCGAAAAGAGACAGAATTTATGCGACTTAAAAGGCACAAGATATGCGTTGATGATTTTGAGCCTTTGACCATCATTGGTAGGGGGGCCTTTAGTGAGGTCAGTATTAAACATAGTATTCTAAAGAATGTATTAAACTTTTCATTGGTCACTGGACTCATGTTAGCTAGAAGTTTCATTTTATGCTTTAGCCATGGTTGCTAATTATTCACTCTCAAACATAGGTCCGATTGTGTCGGGAGAAAAAATCTGGCAATATCTACGCCATGAAAAAGTTGAAGAAATCTGAAATGCTTAAGAGAGGACAGGTAAGATCACATAAGCGACTTTGTTCCAAACCCATCACTGGAACTTGTCCAAGATTTTCATCATGGAAATATTGCTGTTGATGTATTTTCATTTTGCCTTGTAGGTGGAACATGTTAGAGCTGAAAGAAACTTGCTGGCAGAAGTTGCCAGCCATTGCATAGTTAAACTATACTACTCCTTCCAAGATGCAGAGTACTTATACTTAATCATGGAATATCTGCCTGGGGGTGACATGATGACTCTGCTGATTAGGGAAGACACCTTAACTGAAAGTGTGGCTAAATTTTACATTGCACAGAGCGTACTGGCCATAGAATCTATTCAGAAACACAACTACATCCACAGGTTGAAGAAATCTACTAATATCATGTTGTTAAATATTTTATTTTGTTACCAGAATATTTGTTAGGTGATATATTAAGTTGCAATCTTGTCTCACCACTTCATTTTTGCTGCCTTTGCAGAGACATTAAGCCAGACAACCTGCTTCTGGACAAAAATGGTCACATGAAACTCTCAGATTTTGGCCTCTGTAAGCCTCTTGACTGTACAACTTTACCTGCACTGCATGAAAATAGAACTATGGATGATGAAAATATGACAGAACCAATGGACATCGACACATGTGTTCCTGATGCGGATAATCGGAGTAGTTGGAAAAGCCCTGCTGAACAGCTGCAACATTGGCAGATGAACAGGAGAAAGTTGGTATGTTATCATCTTTATGGACTGGTTTTTGCAGTACATCTTTAGCCTTAGCCCTTAGAAGTTTTCCCCGCACTCTATTGTTTTCTTTCCTTCTTCTAAAGGCATTTTCAACTGTGGGGACACCCGACTACATTGCACCTGAAGTGTTATTGAAGAAAGGATATGGGATGGAATGCGACTGGTAAGTTTATACTGCTATTTTTTTTTGTTTTCTCTCATCTTCTCTCATCTTTGTGTTTGTGATATGCATTGTTTGATTTATTTAGGTGGTCATTGGGAGCAATAATGTACGAAATGCTTGTTGGTTACCCTCCATTTTATTCAGATGATCCAATAACTACATGCAGAAAGGTAATATGCTTAGCGCTCATGTAACTCTGAGTGCAAAGTTTCTGTGGTGAGTCGTAGGTTTGAGCTAAGGTCACTTCAGTTTCACATACAAAGTCACTCACTCTATTTGTCAATTTATGTCAGATTGTTCATTGGAGAAACCACTTAAAGTTTCCAGAAGACGCAAGGTTGACAGCTGAGGCTAAGGATCTTATTTGCAGGTTGCTGTGTGATGTTGAACATAGGCTAGGTACTGGTGGGGCACATCAAATCAAAGTAAGGCTCTCCTATTTGAATAAGTTGTTCCTCTGATGGGATATTTTCATTGTCTTAAGTTTCTAAAAACTATGTTGTATCAGTCTCATCCTTGGTTCAAGGACGTTGTGTGGGACAAACTCTATGAAATGGACGCAGCATTCAAGCCAGAAGTGAATGGGGAGCTTGATACCCAGAACTTTATGAAGTTTGATGAGGTATCTTACAAGATCGTCCTTATATTTCTTGTATCATTGTTTTTCATGTTCTGCAGCAACTCACAAACATTATTGTTTTTTTTTTTTTTAAACTTCTGCTATCACTTCTATAATTAACAATTTAACAGTTCCACTGAACTCTACGTTTTTAGCTCCTGTACGCTTTCATTCATATGACATGTAGAAGCATCATTACATTACTGGCAAACGTATTCAAATATTGACTTCCGTACATATTTTGCATTTGTGCTTAGTTGGACCCACCACCAGTCAGCAAGAACTGGATCTTCACGAAAGGTTTGTAACTGTGATGTTGTCTATTTACTCATGATATGCAATACATGTTCTATAAGACATGATATTGAATATTTACGTAATCAATTGGCATTATGATCATCAGTTCTTTTGAAGAGAAAGCCCAATTCTCAATACTGGGTTCCCTTTGTTAAAAAGGCACCAGCGCTAAGAGAACTACCGTAGGAAAAATAAAACATCATAGCGTAGACCTTTTCATCTATGTTTGTCTTCGAGATGATGTAATGTCAAATTAAAACTGTTGTTTCTAGCCAGAGCTAAGAGAACTACAGTAGGAAAAATAAAACATCATAGCGTAGACTTTTTCATCTATGTTTTTCCTCGAGATGACGTAATTTCAAATCAAAACTGTTGTTTCTAGCCAGCCACCATGAAATCCGCATTAGTGCCGTTCGATGCCAATGATTCTGTTTCTAATATTCTGAGAGGGGAATTTGCTTGCAAAATCAATCCCAGTTGGCTTTTGCTTATATGTCATCTTGTGTAACATTATTTTCAGAACTTAGAAGGATTCTGCATTATTAGGCAACACGTCCTTGCTCTCTTGTTATCTATAGTGTTCTCATGTCTATTTTCCAGAGCATCCACGAAAATCTGCAATAAACTGTTCATGAGAACTCATGCGACATTTTTAGGGGATTTATAATTTAGTATAAATGTACAATGTGTATTCCTTATCACCTTATAATTTCATGCAGTTACAAATGACTCCCAAAGATTTAAGCTTTGTTGGCTACACATACAAGAACTTTGATGCTGTGAAAGGGCTTCGCCAAGCTCTTGGTACGCAATGTTACTCCAATGTCAACTCTCGTTTCCGAATCATTTCACTTTACTGGAATTACCTGATGTTATTCTGTTATGAACCTAAGTGGATGAAAAGCTTATTTATTAGCTAATATATGCAGGGGAAGCTAGAGTAGATTTTACTGCTGAAAGGGCAGCCAAGGAAGCTGAGTTACAGATGCTTGCATCAGCTGGTGATCCCATGTTACCATAACACCAAATCCCTAGGGATAAAAAGTGACAAGCTGAGCGTGCAGATGTATGCTCATGTCCTTATTCGGGTTCATATTCAAAAGAAACTCGGCATATCTTTTGAAGTGGCTGCCGCGCAGTTAGCCAGATTACCATTAAGTGTACAGTAAGTAACTATTGAAGACGACCATGAAAGCCCGGAAAAAGGGCGAGTGAGAGACTTCAGTAATTAGGTTTTGTGAATTAGCATTTTAGAATTAAGGTAGGCTGAGAATTCTGGGAACTGGTTGTCCTGTCTGCCCAGGTTGGCGGTATTTTGTGCAATGCCTTCTCTAGTGGCAGTTTCTGGTCAAAAGTATTAAGTATTTCATGGCCAAATTACCAAGAAACTCAGTAGCCATTTTACAAGTAACTATTTCTCTGTTGCGGTTGTGTAAGCTTTTAAGGGATGGACTTGAAATTTGCTATGAAAAGAAATACTGTAAAATTATGTTGCTTCAATTTTCATGCTTCCATATTACATCATATGCCTCTTATTCTGGACCAAAATGGAATATGACAAATATATGTACGAGGTCAATTTTTTTGTTTGTTTAATGTCTATTGAACTTAGAGTTCATTAATATATTGGTATTACACTCATATTTTTCGGTATACTGTAAGAGTAATTCCTGTAGAGTTTAATATATCAGTATCAGACTCATTTTTTCCGTTTACAGTGGAAGGTCTTGGTATGTTTGTTTATGGAGTTTGGACATATGTTCTAGCCGTTGGGATGGGCTCTAAGTGCGATTGCAAGTGGCTCTGCTGCCTGTTTTTGATCGGCTCACTCTCCTTCTACACTTGAAAGCCACGCGCCTAACAGAAAAAAATTAAAATCATGGCTCGTCAAGATGACGTCAACGTGATTTTAGATCACCTTAGTGGGTTTAGCTATTATAGCCCGTGTGGTCTTCTGCTGGGTAGGGCCGGAGTGGTTTTGGGGAGCTTGAGGGACCAGATAGCCTAATAGCTCAAACAATTTTTTTGGGGTGTAGTTGCTCTAAATGGTAGGGTCAATGAAATGCCTATGTGGTAGGGTCAGATTTGTAGCTAAAAAAGGGCTTACCCTTATGAATCTTTTCATCCCAAAAAAAGGTGGATAAACGTAGCATGATTCTTTTTTATTACTTTTTACTCATAATTACTCTAAAGAATATGACAACACATTACTATGCACTTTACTTCAATTGCTTTCTGACGGTGACGTGGTACAGGGACAGGATGGTCATTTTGTTAGTCAATGAGAATCATCTTTGTTGGGTCAGGATCCATTACTTTATTTCTGTCATTTTGTTTGGCAAACAATAAATTTATTAGATTAGAGCTGACATTGTATGAAATCACATCATGGTGTAAGGATAACATTCCTCTTCATCAGGCCACTTGCCTTTAGTTGGAGTTGGCCTCCACAGAATATGACAGCACAACTACCATTCACTCAATTCGATCGGCAAATGCCGCAAAACCATCTCGAACCTTTTTACTAAGTTATTATAATTTTGCCTCATCAGTCAAATGTTGTCTTTTGTATTGTGCTAGTTTTCCTAAAGATTATATTATAGTATGAAAATGTCATTACAGAAAAAGAAACCACATTGACAGACATGCTTAATGTGATCGACTAAATAAGAATTTATGCAAATTTGACAAACTGTTGAAGCAACATACATGTATTCACCACATCAAATAGCATTCGCAGCTCCTTTTCTGTCTTCCTCGGCCTCCTCTCCCTCTCCTTCCAACTCTCGTACGCATGATCATCCGTCTGCAGCTCATGCCGGCATATTGGACTCGAATTGTGCTCCTCCTGCCACAATCAAAACAACCCAAAACCCCCAGTCGGTCAGTCACTCGAAAATCGAATTGAATGCAACCAATGAGATACAGTAGCAATATAACAAACGTTCAAAAATTCGAATTCCCAGCCATGGCTTTAGGCATGGAGGGTGAAAGTGCCTGCAGGGCAATTCCTGCATTTTGTCACCGACAACCAAGTCCTCCTTACAAATGTAGCAGTCGGCGTCCTCTCGGAGCTTCTTCAACGCTTCCTCCGTGATCGTGATCACCGGGAGATTGGCAATTCCTGTTTGCTCGCATGCTGAACCCTTGGAGCCACCCTCACGTAATCCAAAACCCCCGGAGACAAGATTAATGACAGGTGGCACTACATGGTTGAGAATCTTAACAAAAATATAAGCGGATATTACTAATACATAATGACATGTGGCGCGATTAAAGTAATTGAAAATCTAATTTAAAATTTATGACGATAATGACATATGGATGATAAGACTAATACAAAAATAAAAAATATATTTTTGAATAGTAATACTATTGCATTTACCTTTCCTCTTTCCAAACAAGTGAATTTGCAAAAACAATTACTATTCAAAACTAATAGTAAAGCCCATTACATTGCCCTTATCCTTACCTTCATAAAACAAATGTAGTTGCTCTAATGCTCCAGATGAAAATTTACATAAAAAGAGACTGCCATGATCAAGGTAAAAAGTAAAAACAGAGCTAGAGTTTGAATGCAAAATTACCACATAATAATTGAATGCTTGTCTTTTATAAATGGTAGGGTCAACGAAGGCTTTATTTTTTCTCCTTTTTACACTAATCACTTTATTTATGTCGAGTGAGTTGCAATTAGCCTCTACAAGATATGACACCACACTACCAATCAATTTACTTTACTTGCGACTTGATTAACTTGGAATCATCATATAAACTTTAGTTCTGTCGAGTGAGTTTTAGTCGGCCTCTACAAAATATGACACCACACCACCACTCACTTGACTTGAGTTGATCCACTTGGAATCATATAAGCTTAGCTTTACTTTATTTTTATATAGAACGAGATATTTACATTATATGATGAAGAAATAAATTAGTATCGAACACATCATCTAAAAAATTTGAATTTAAAACTTCTCATTTACAAATGAAGATATTAATAAGTTGGAATTGGCATGCACAAACTAATAATACAAATTACTTTATTTCTGTGGGGTTCATTGAAGTTGGCCTCCACAGAACATGACAGCGCACTACCACTTTGCTTTGCTTGACTTGATTGACTTGGAATCATCATGTAAGCTAGATAGAAGAGAGGCATTGTCACAAACCATCCTGCATTTCTCGTTCATCATTTCTTTTTCCACTGTCAACAGACCTCTGAGGCTGAAAAAATGGTTGATGGAATCATTTCCATGCTACTAGATCGGTTGGCTTCAACAGCTTATGAGTTCGTGGATGGGGAGGTGAAACTTGTTTTGAACGCCAAGAAAGATGTTGAAGATTTTGCTGGCCATCTCAGAGCTATTCAAGCCGTTCTCGAAGATGCAGAGCAAAAGCAAGTCAAGGACGTCAGCGTGAGGAACTGGTTGGATCAGCTCAAAGACATATCCTTCCGGATGGTGGATGTGCTGGACGAGTGGAACACCGAGATGCTGAGACAACAGGTTGAGAAGCAAGAACAGGAAGGAGAAAATGCTGATGTTCTTGTTCCTAACAAGAAGAAGAAGGTAACTCTCTCTGTTTCCCCTAGTTGCTTTTGTTTTCGCAAAGCCAAAGACGTAGCTTTTCGCCATGACATTGCGAGTAAGATAAAAGATCTGAATGGTAGGCTAAGAGCAATTGATGATCAAAGAAAAATGTATGAGTTTCAACGCATAGAAAGAGGCATTCAGCAATTACCTAAACGACGTAAGACTTCGTCTATTGTCGTCATGTCAGAGGTATTTGGTCGAGAAAAGGAAAAAGACATTTTGATCACAAACTTGTTGAGTGATCGGAGGGGCTTCATATCATCCCTATTCTAGGGATGGAAGGAATGGGCAAGACAACTTTGGCCCAACTAGTTTATAATGATGGCAAGGTTAAAGCTTATTTTGAAAAAAGAGTGTGGGTTTGTGTCTCAGACCCTTTTGATGAGGTTAAGATTGCCAAATCCATAATTGGTGATGGTGTCCCAAGTTCAGATGAGTTGGACTGTGTCTTGCAGTGCATGTTAAAATCTATCGAGGGCAAAAGGTTTCTCCTTGTTCTAGATGATGTGTGGAGCCACGACAGTTAAAAGTGGGAGTGCTTAAGGGCACCACTAATCCAAAGTGGTGTTCATGGTAGTAGAATATTGGTGACCACAAAAAAGCACGAGGTTGTTGATATGATGAGAACAACAAGTGACATGATTAATTTGGAAAAGTTGAGTGAACAATATTGTTTATCAATCTTTAATCACATGGCATTTTCTTATGGTGAAGTAGACGAGTCTAAGGCGTTTGAAGATATTAGTAAGAAAATTGTAGAGAAATGTAAGGGTTTGCCTCTTGCCGCAAAAGCTTTAGGCAGTCTCATGCGCAATAAGAGAACAAGGAGAGAATGATTAGGTGTTTTGAACAGTAAGATATGGGATCGAGAAGAGGTGGAGCAAAAAGTTTTCCAACCCCTGTTACTAAGTTATAATGATTTGGCCCCATCAGTCAAATGTTGCCTTTTGTATTGTGCTCATTTTCTAAAAGATTACAAGTTTAAGAGAGACTGAATTGATTAATCTTTGGATGGCGCAAGATTATCTTAATTTAGAAGGGAATGAGGGTAAGGGAGACATTGGTGAAGCAGTTTTTGATAACTTAGTAGCTCGATCTTTTTTCCAAGATTTGCAGAAAGATAGTCTCAGTGGTAAAATTATAGAATGCAAAATGCATGATATTGTTCATGACTTTGTGCAATCTCTCACCAAGAATGAATGTTTGACTATCGATGATGAGGGTGTTGGCAATGAAACAAAAGTTTTGGGTGAAAAGGTTCGCCATTTGACATAAGTTTGAAACATGGTGGGCCACTCCCACTTTTAATGCATATTACAATTGCAAAAATCTGCGTACTCTCACAATTCTTTGGTCATACAATCCTAATCCTACAACGATGGATTTCAATTTTATTTTACAATTGAAATGTCTAAGGTCATTAAATTTGAATTGCAGTAGCATAAGTGAAGTCCCAAAAGAAATTGGTGAATTGATACATTTGAGGCATATTGATTTGTCATGGAATCATGATCTAAAGACATTACCTGATAGTATCTGTGAGTTGTACAATTTGTATACCTTGCGTCTTTTTGGCTGTCAGCGATTTGAAAAACTACCTGATAAGATGGGAAAGTTGATTAGCTTAAAGCACCTTTATGTTTTAGGGTGTTTTAAGCTTAAGTACTTACCAAAAGGGATTCGTAGATTAAAGAATTTGAAAACAATTGATTGGTATGTTGTGGATTGTGGCGAGGATGAGGGTACAACAGCATTACAATTGGGAGATCTGAAAGTCTTGAACTGGAGGGCTGTCTCCACATAAAATTGAAGGGGAATGTGAAAGATGAGAGTGAGCTTGAGAAAGCACAGTTGTGGGACATGAACCAACTCTTTTATCTCATAATTGATTGTAGTGATGTCCAGTACAAGCAGCAAGCAAGAAGCACTGTTGAAATACTAAATGTCTTACGACCGCATGAAAATCTGGAATCTTTACACATTTCTCATCATTCGGGCACCACCTGCCCCAATTGGATGATGTCTTTGCGAAACTTAAGAAGCATCATTCTAGTTGATTGGTATAATTGTGAGTTTTTGCCTCCTCTTGGGAAATTGCCATACCTTGAAGAACTATCTCTATGGGTAATGCAAAAGGTGAAAAAGATTGGTGGTGAGTTTTTGGGAATAGTCGACCAAGATTACGCAATGTCATTGAAATTATCATCATCATCATCATCATTTTTCCCAAAGTTGAAACAACTAGGGATCTACAGCATGTCAGCGTTGGAAGAGTGGGAAGTAGGCGTGGAAGGGTGGAACAAAGAGGATTCTGAAATTTCAATCATGCCATGCCTTTCCTCCTTAGAAATCAGTTGCTGCAAAAACTTAACAACACTGCCAGACTTCCTCTGCAAAACACCGGTGCAAGAGCTTATCATTTGGGGTTGTCTGAATCTTTCAGAGCGTTGTCAACAAGGCAGTGGAGAGGAGTGGCCCAAGATTTCTCACATCCCAAACATCAAAATCTCATCATAAATCTGGTAACTAAGCTCTACTTATCTTATTTACGCATTTATTTATGTATCAATAACAAATGCTATTATCATATTTGATTAATTTGCTTATTTTTCTTCTTCAAAGGAGAAGGAGAGATGAGTAATGTGGATCAAGTGGTGACCCACGAGCTAGGCGTATAGATTAATCTTCTTTGGAAAGGTGATTCTCTGATTTTATATATATATATCAAATTCGTAATGATTATTTAACTTCTTGCCCACATCTTACTAATTTATGACATACTTTTAGGTAATTATTCATCTGTACGTACCAAATTCGATATCAAATTTTCCCAAGCATGGATTTGCTTATCTTAGTTGCGCAAGTTTTTGCACAACATACGAAAGACTGAGCAGATGTGAGCCAAATTAAGGAGCGTCAGTTGAACTCACCTTCAAGTTTCCAGTGAGGTTTGTTGTTTGGATTTAATCTACATATAATCTAGGTGTCTTGTAGAAAATTTAATTCTAGGACAATGTCTTCTAGATGTTGCTAAATCGAGAATCCATCTATCGTTTCAGGGATTCTGCCGAATCAAAAGGCGTGATGTTGACCAGTCAACGTCCCCTCCTAAAGTTTCAACTGAACTTTTGTTCATCTTCACCAATGCCGTGAGAACTTGTAGGCATTGGAAAGTGATTCGTCAAAGCATTCCTCTGTTGACTCCTCATTACTTGAACCTGCGCTTAATGATCCTTCACTGGCTTTTTTCAACATGTCAAATACAATTATGTGGATAGGGAAGCTAACTGCATTGCACATAGACATAGTTTGGTTTGAGGAGCGTTGTAAAGAGTAGTTATACTATGTAAATTTGGTGTGTGGCGTTTTTTTCTCTTTTGACCGGGTTAAAATTCCCGACAAGGATTTTATTGTGGCCCTTTTCAGTGGTGTACCCTATTCTCTCTTGTACATGTTCTTCTATAATGCTAATGAATATTGTACTTGTCTCCAAAAAGCAGAAAAATATTGTTCCAAAATACACGAATTAACCAGTATTAAGACAAAATATGGTGTATAGTATAGTTGGGCGCCTTGGAATAAACGCCCTGGACCTGGAAGATATGGTGATCTCTCTGTCACCTGTGGCCTTAACTCTCGATCACCTGTGGCCTGGTCTAAAGAAGGCCTCTTTGCATACGAGATGGCCAAAATTTTCGAAATGGACACTCAAAATTCACAAAACCAAGTATTTCAAGGGACATGTAGCATCCAAGTCTTCATTTCCAAGTGAAAAAAAAAAAAAAAAAACTCCAAAAAATAGTTCACAACTCCTAACCGACGACGCACTTAAGACTTTTGTTGTCTGAAAACACTTTTAGCTATTCTAGAAGCACTTAAACATAAACAGAATGAGAACAATACAATGCAAGACAAATGCTAAAACAATAAGAAGCAAAAAATAAATAAATCCAATAACACAATTTGCAAATCGCACAAAAGCCTCAATCCTTGGCTCAAATGAGAAGGCAGACAAGAACTTGATGGATTCACCATCCACAAAACATTTGGGCATTTCAACCCAATCATTAGCAGCCAAGTCACACAAAACACAGCTTAAACCCTCGGCAGAGGTGACTATTCTAACTAAATTTACATTACAGAAAAATGATTCGAATTAAGATGCATTATAGAAAAACATTAAGCAAATTAACTTGGCTACACCTAGGTCTGCTACTTTTGTTTTTTTTTGTTTAAAATTGGAGATTTTCACCCACATAAAAACAAAAAACCTTGTGTTGGATTTTTAAATATTCTTCTAAATCGAACATGTTCAATTGTAATAAGAAAAAGATAAATAAGAACAAATTTTCAGTACCAAGAAAAATAAATAAATAAAAACAATTTGGGCTCAGCAGTCCATAGCCCTCTGACCCACACAAATCCGAGACCCAAGAATAATCCACGAAACCGAGTCCACCAAGTGGGCCGTAATTTTAATTTTATGTAATTCGCGTCAGTGAGTGACGTCGTTTTATGACACCGGCAGCAGTAGTCCGGACTTGGACATCTTCCCTTTCGGTTTCAGGATGTTTTCAAAATATAATTAAAATTAATGAACACTAGACATTATTCTAATTTTCCATCTGTTTTCAGATCAATATTTATGTACAAACATTTTCAAAATCAATATATTTTTTAATCAACTGAACCGCTTCTTCTTCTTCCGCGAAAATTCAAAAACCGAGCTTAGATGAAACTGAATAAGATTTGGCAATTTAAATAGAACTGATTGTCCGTCACTTTGACGTCTCAGTTCGATTTAAGTCTCTCTCTATAAGGTTGAACAATCATTAACATAATTTTCTTGTAATTTCTGAAAAGCACAGGTGAGCCCTTAGAGAGAAATCATTCAAAAAATTAGAAAAAACTAATAAATATCACTTAATTATGTGCTTGTTAATTTGTATCTGTTTACCTAATCTGTAGTTAAACCTTAATATAAGCTTGTTACTATTAATTAATTATTTGCTAAAGTCAACTAGATGCAGCAAACTGAATAATTAAGCTTAAAGTTGTCAGCCTCCTCCCAACCTAATAATACGATTAGTAAGTTGAAAGGGAAAGATAATGAATTAGTGGGTCAAACCTTCTAACTACATTCTATACCAAATAGTTCATCTCATATGTTGCATTTGATACGCGGAAATAAGTTTATTAATTGTTAATGGGAGCACACTAGTTGTTAAGACTGTAATTAACGCTTCTCTTGAGTTTCTAATGAAAATAAAAATAAAATCTAAGTTTGAAAAGACAGTTTCGCTTTTCATAAGACATGAATTTTTTTTTATTAATCTGGACTTATCAATCACGAGAAATGAAGTGATTTCTCATTGTTAAATTCACTTTCTTAGTAACTAAGTACAAATATTAGTACAAATATTATGAGAAGTTTTGAATTCGAATATCTCATTATTATTAATCAACACTATATCAACTCTTACACTAGATAAGACTCTCTACGACATTCTCTCTTTCTTTTTTTTTTTTTTTTTGTGGGTTTTAGCAAAGGTAACATACATTACCAACAAACACTACAACACAGAAGCCCAAAATTTACAACACAAATGCCAAAGAACGAAAACACAAACAACCAATAGAGGCCCAACCAAAAATTGAGCCCAAAACACAAAACACACAGAAACAACCACAGCCACTGCAACATCCGCCAAAATCGCCGTTGCAACCACCATAATAGCAACCGTGTATGTCGATCAAGTCAAATTTGATCCCCAAACAAAGCCACGCCTCACCAACACCAGCACCCAAGTCCAAGCTTCACGCCCAACACAACTACATACCCCAAAGAACCTGTAGGCAAGTGAAAGAAGGTCATGGCAGTCCACGAGCAACACTGCCAACAACAGCAGACACCAAAGCGAAGATATTAACAAAAAATTATAGATGTATAAAGATAACAATAAAAATCACTTTTAAGCAATTTCCTTTTGATAATAATTTAGGATTAGAGAATTAAAAAGGCAGGGATCATGGGATGGGTGGAGATGCTTTAATATGCTCTTCTAGATTTGACACGTGTTACCTTTTTCTCACTCTTCAAATACACTCCCGTCTGTCCTGTCTCTTTCTTGTCCTTTTCTTCCTCCATTATTTTTCCTTTTTTTATTTACTTTTTTTTGGTATATTTCTCTTCTCTTCCACGCCCTTTCTTGCGCTCTCTCAACTCTCTGCAGGTACATTTATTAATAAAAAGGCAGTCATCTTTGAGCTGGGATTTTTAATTGGTAAGCTTCCCATATCTTGTTTTCTTGATTTCTTTGATCCTTTTCATGGAGTTCAGCTGTTTGAGTAAAGTTTAAGAGAGAGAGGATGAGAGAGAGGAAGGAGGTAGGGAAGGAAAGACTATACAATTGACAAATTAGGTAGTGATTCTTCTTGTTTTTCCTTCTTAATAATTGTCATAATTATTTGGAGAGAGAGTGAGAAGAGAGAGAGTTGAATTACAAGAGGCAGAGATAGGTTGCCTCAGATCCAGGGAAGTCTTTAAGTTAATATGTTGGAAAAAGCTGCTTTCTTTGGTAGAGTTGGTTTTTCCTGTGATTCTTGGTGCTTTGCCTTTGTTGGGTTTCTTTCTCATGACCTCCTCTTTCATTTTTTTTATTTCTTGTGTTTAGATAAGGGGTTGGTTCTAAATTTAATCTGATTTTTGTACTTCTTCTAATTTTGCAGTTTGTTTTTTGTTTTTTTTCTTTCCATTTGTGCATTTAAAGATTGTTTCTTTCTGGGCTTGGTTGATGAGAAGAGGCCAGAGAAGAAGTTGGAAAGGGCTCAAAACGTGTCAATTTAGTCTATAGGGTTCAATTTCCTAAAGTGGAAGTGTGGATCCATTGTTGTTGACCAGATCTGGGTACCCATTTCCTTTTCCACCACCTTTTTGAGCTCATTTGTACATTCACATCTCCTGAGTTTTGCACCGTCTTTTCGCCTTTATTCGGGTGCCCTCAGGCATGGAAAATGGCCTGTTAGAACCCACCGTTGACATTCCGGAATCATTCTCAATAGGGGGAGAAAGTCAGAGATTAATTGAGAAATGACAGCTTGTGTGATGTTGGAGGGTAACTTTTTGTACTGCCCAGATAAGGATTTTGATGGAGGAAATGTCTCCGCCAGTCGCGGTGCCATTTAGAGTAGGTAACTCAGTCTGTGATAACCCAACCATAGCTGTCCACATGGATATCACAAGACTTAAGCTAATGACAAACACGGCGGGATTGCTATCTGATTCTGTCACCATGGGTTCCAGTGAGACGGTTGCAGCTGGTGAAGAGGATTGTAATTGTAATTGTTCGGGGAATGATAGTTTTGGAGCAGTTTCAGCGCCAAAAGAGGACAAGGGGGGAGGAGCTCCTTTGTTGGATATGATATCTCAAGACGAAAGTAATTGGGTTTCATTCTGCTGATGCGATAGGCTGTGAGAGTGAGGACGATGATTCTTTATCATTGGAAGGCGATCAGGTTCTTGATAGCTCTTGTTCACTCTCAGTGGCGAGTGAGTCAAGTAGCTTGTGTTTAGAGGACTTACTCGTTTATGAGATTGGTCCTGATGCAGGCACGTTGAGTTCTGTAGACAAGGAGAAGAGCATTTGCTGTGTAGAAGTTGTCGATAAGGCTACGGATTTAGGTGATTCAAATGTTGAGACAGAGATCACAAGTGATCCCCTTCCTGTGACGGGGAGCCTTGAGGAAGTAATTGGTGATGGGTCTGACCCAAAGCCATCTGCAGTTGTTGATCAATTACCTGTGGAAACGGGGGCCAAAGAAACAGTTAGCCGCAGTGTTTTTGAGGTAGACTATGTACCGCTTTGGGGGTTTACGTCTGTGATTGGAAGAAGGCCAGAGATGGAAGATGCGCTTGCCGCTATACCACAACTGTTTAAGATTCCAATTCAAATGCTGATTGGTGACCGCATACTTGATGGCTTGAGCAAGTGTTTGCACCAAACTGTTCATTTCTTTGGAGTCTATGATGGTCATGGAGGGTCTCAGGTACCATTTCATAACCTTATGTGTTCCGTGGGCAACTTTTTGCTGCTGCATAAAATGCACATAATGTCTTTCTACCGGTAATTGTATTTCATGGAATCTGCTTTAATTTTCTTTAGGTTGCAAACTATTGTCATGACCGCGTTCATTTGGCTTTAGCTGAAGAGATAGAATCTGTTAAGGAAGGCCTAATTCATGAAAGTATCAAAGATAATGCCAAGCACAGTGGACAAAGGCATTTACAAATTGTTTTCTTAAGGTTGATACTGAGGTTGGAGGGAAGGCTGGTCTTGAGCCTGTTGCCCCAGAAACTGTTGGTTCCACTGCTGTCGTTGCCCTTATTTGCTCGTCTCATATCATAGTAGCAAACTGTGGAGATTCCAGAGCAGTTCTCTGTCGGGGTAAAGAACCCATGGCTTTGTCGGTGGATCATAAAGTAAGACATTCTCTGAC